AACCTGGAAGACCGAGAAAGTTCACATCAGAGGGGCAATCTGAGAAGAAGTTTCAGACATAAGGAGCAGAACGGAAAAGCCGAAATCATGTCAGAGTGGTCCAACAGGATCTGAAGAAACAGACACTCCAACAGCTGGGCCAGCAAGATGAGCTGAGGCAGGGAAGATTTTCATTAGATCTTGCCTCCCAAGGTTGTCACTTCAAACACAAACATCCCAGTGAAGGGAACTTGGACTGTAACACTGTCCAACTAGGTGTGGAGGGCAAGCTTTCTCCCCAAGGCCCTGGCAATGCAGTTTAAGCTTGCTTGCTTTCCTTCTTTCTTTTTTCCTGCAGCAGTATAAATTCTCCCCTGGTGACACATCAGCGAGCCGCTGAGGCAAATGGCAGCCTGGTCTCTTTTTCATTCTAATTGTTCTATGGAAGGAATTCCCTTTTGCAGAGAGGGAGAAAGCAAAGCACTGGCTGAAATATTGCAGTGGCCATAAATTTTGCAAGGTCAGTATGATTATCTGCCTGTTTGGGCTATGTTTGCTCTGAAGTTTGCAACAAGCTCATTCCAGAGCCCCTGCATCTTGATTCATGGGGATGCATTTTGGAAAGAGCCTATTGGGTCAAACAATTTCTACCTTTTATAAAGTATTTCTTTTGGATGCCGGCCACAAACTGCTTTTAAGAGCATGCTGTTAATTTTCTCCCCGTGTTTTCCTGTGGTGCATCCTTGCCTTCCAAAATGCCACAAGAGAGAAGAATGCTTCCCTTGTCAGTCAGGCAAGTACAAATTAACAAACCAACGTACTTGCATGCAAATTGCTCAGAACTATCTTGGTCCATAATGTGGACCTGCCAGATCATAGTGGTTCACTGAATGAAAAAGTAACCTGACGGGAATCTGCCAGGCTCCCAAGGTTCTTTTTCAGCTTGGATTAAGCTGAGTCATGAACACTTGGGCCACACCAGCGTTGCCTGCTCAAGGAGCCATGGGGAATGGCGTTCCCACGGCACCTGGCCTCCAAAGTCAGTTTTTCAGGGTACCGGTGCCTCTGGTGCTGCTGATGTACTATGTAACATTCTGCGAGTATGTGCAGAAAGGCAATTAGGGGTCGCAGAGGGCTTCAAATCACTGAACGCAAAACATCTCGAGGGGATCGGAGGAACAGCCATCTCCACGCTTGCCTACATTCTCTGAAAATCTCTTCAAACCCCTCGGTGCACTGCTGTTTTCAACCTGTTTTTCAGCTTGCCCAGACAGAGAAAAGTGTGGATTTTGAATGGGAAGGTGAGCATTGTTCCATGTGTTTCTCAGAAGTGCACACTTGCTTCACGCCCACTGGGTGGCCATGAAAACGTGTGTGTCCAATGCAAATGTCAAAGTTTACCTTTTTTAAAATGGTGCATTTGTCAAATGACGAATTTGAGAATGTGCAAGCCATTCTTGCACCCTACTCCTGTTTGTTGGGTCTGTGAACAGGATGGAAGCAACATGCTCATCCATCCCTTGTCTCTGGAGATTGTAATCTATGATCGGGCTTAAAAAGGGAGATTAATTAGCAGGCACAATGCATACTGTCTGAAACATCTGTTTGCTGCTCTAAGGCATAGGATTTTTTTATTTGGTGAAAGATCTTGAGAAACTACATACTGCATTCTTTGTAAGTGTGGTCATCCACCTCTCACCAACACTCCTGCATTATCTCCACACACGCACGCACGCACGCACACACCTCTAGGCCTGGGTCTGCCTGGTCTTCCTTTCGCTTAGTATCTTGTGTCGCTGCACTAGATGGCAGCGTGGCGTCACTGTTGTGGCTCTGCAGATCGCAGCTTGCCGTCCATGTGGCTTTCGGCAAGGACCACACGCACTGCAAATGCCTGTTCTTGAAGCCCGACAGCACTCAGGTTCCTCAAACCACGTCAGTTCCATCACATTTCCTGGCAAGGGAGTCGCATTCATCTGGGGCAAGAGTGGACTACAAGGAGCTGTTTGTTTATGTGCAGGGAACCTGCAAGGAAACCCAAGAATATCTGGGCCCCTGTGACTGGGCTGGTGCCTTGATAAACCAGCCAGCTGGGGCAATTCACCCATGTGGAAGTCAGAAGATATTGGCCTGCTGCTGACGGTACGTTGGTGGTAAAAGTAGGAAATAATTCTACGGCATAAATTGGTGGGTGCTGTGGAAAAAAGCCTCAAAATATGGAAGCAACATTAAGAAGGTATTTATTTATTTATTTATTTATTTATTTATTTGCACCATTACAGACATCTTGGGACAGTTTAAAATATTCATTAAGAAATTAGAATAAAAATAGAAATAAGAGTAGGGGTGGCACAGCATCCAACATTAAGTATAAAGCCACCAATTAAAACAAATTAGCAGTTAAAATATTGGGAGAATAAAAAGGTTTTCACCTGATGCCAAAAAGAAAAGTGTTGGTGCCAGGTGAACCTCTCTGGGGAGCGTGTTCCACAGTTGGGGTGCCACTGCAGAGAAGGCCCTCCTCTGGGTAGTCACCCTCCTGATCTCTTTCAAGGACGGCTCCCAGAGGAGGGCCTCTGACTCAGATCTCAACGAGTGGGAATATAGGGGAGAAGGCGTTCCTTCAGGGTAGTTGTGTAAAGGGGGTGTAAATCTGCCCCCCATGGGTTTTGCTCACAAAGGTCTCTTGTGCCTTACAGCTGTCAAGCATGGAAAAAGCTGCGGAGTATTGCGCAGCTTAGCAGCTGAAACAGGCCTGAACATTGCTTCATGGCCACGTTTTGTTTATTATCATTGATATAAAACTGCGCATATTTTTAATGTGGAAAACTAAAAAACATCCAGCCACAGGCAGCCCTGCCGGTTGGGCATTTTGAAGGGGCTGTCAGCAGCTGTCAAAACAGGGATTGCGAAAGCCACCCATCAAGCTGACTTCTGCAGCTTCTAAGGAGGAGAAAAAGCTGCAAGGAAGACACAGTGAGCTGAAATCAGCTCACAATCACGGCAGGAAAAATGGAGACAACTCCCCATCCACCCGCCTTGGTGTTCCCTCAGATACTGACTAGAGGAGCAAGGGAGAAGACAGAGAAGGGTGAAAACAACCTGTTTGCCCCAGCTGTCTACTGAGAGTTGATGGAAAACCACCAGCCCACCAGGGCTTTCTCCAGATTCGGTTGGTGTGATGAGAAAACTCACCCTCTGTTGCTGGGGAAGTCCATGAAGCCAAAACTCCCCAGCTAAGGGAAAGATGCTACTAAGCTCAGAGAAATCAGTGAGGCATCCATGGCTCCTAAGATGTGCTGGGGTTAAGGGCATGGGAACATCGGGTCCACCACCCCACACCCTTCATACTGAGCTGAGAAAAACCCAAGAAAAACCCAAACTCATTGGACTCCACTCCTGAGCCGGACAGAAGGAATTAGCTTTGCAATAGAACATAGCTAAATATCCAGGACTGCACTTACATTATGTAGGAAGCTCACTCTCATACACCGCCCCCCCACACACACCCTAATGATAAGTTTATGTGCCAAGCAGTTTGTCTGCCTCTAAAGATGCCATTAACCTTTCTTTTGTCGCAAATATTATTTGGAGCAGGGCAGAAGATAAACACACACACACTGCGACGGCAGTCGTCATCTTTTGAACTGAGCCGTGCGGTGGCAATGAAATGGCATGTTTGGAATAATTCTAGATATGTTTTGCTTGATGGAATGAGCTTGGCTGCAATCGTAACTTCCCTGCCGTTTCAGCTGAGTTATTTGATTAAAAGGCTTCATCATGCAGGATTTGTCATGCTAACACAACCCACCAAATTATTACCATTGTTAAGGACTTTGCTTTTGTTGTTCTTTAGGTGAACTTCTGAGGGATATTAGCATTTGTTCTAGGATGAAACTGGATTTTCCATTCATTCGGCTCCAGACAAGATGCAAAGGTATCTTGACTCAGTGGTGCTGTCACCTGGTAAGGTGAGACAACACACCTCTAGTGGCAGATTTTGGGGTACAGTGATTTTTAAGGGCACAACAAAGCTACCTTTGAAAATAATAACAAATCACAACACGTGGGTTTTGGGATTTATTCCAGAGAGTTATAGGTGTGTCTCTGGAAAATGGAGCTTGCCCATTCCTAAATGCCTCCCTTTGGAAAGTCATCAAATGGATGGAAAGAAAATGCTCCAAAAACCGTCTTCTGATAAGCTGGGAAGTTTTACGGTCCTTTGTGAGGGCAACATGGGGACAGGTTTCCCTTCTTATGCGGGGATTTCCAGTGCTTTGGGATCCATCCAATCTGAGGGTTGAAACAAGCTTTCTGTTCTTTGCTGAAAAAATGGTTCATTCCTTGAAGATGTAAAAAAAGGGAGTCAAGCAGATAATGACAGGAAAGTTCTCCATTCCTCTGGAGAGATGTTACACCAGTCTTGGCCATCCATCCATCCATCCAGAGGACTTTCCAAATTGCTGCAAAGACCTGGCAGGCCCTTGGGAGTGTTCTCGCTCTGCTTCATGCCCTCTGCCGGAGTAGAAGCATCTAGGCCAAAAGAGATCTGATTTACACGTGCCAAAGAGAGCAAGATGTTCCCGAGCTGAGCATTCTCTTGATGTATCTGATTGGGATAATTGCAACACTGCAGGGGACTTTGGCCTTGCTAAAAATAGGAGGATGGGAGCTGCTGGACCAGTGGGCAACCTGGCATACCCTCTTGTGGCTAACCGACCGTGTTGCAGCTATGCAAAAGTGTGTGTGCCTCGGATGGGGTGAGTCATCAATATTAAGGTGGTTCCCTAACCGAAATTCAAGCCACGGAGATACTGAACAGGCAGAATTGTTCTATGCGGATGTGCACATGCAGGAAAAACTGCATTACCAGCAGCACCAGCTTCTCATGAAATTTTGGTGCTTCAGTTTAGAAAGGCATGTTTCCAGACCCTGGGTTGGCAGCCATGGGAGGTCCAGGGGCCAGGTTAATTCCCCGAATGCCCTTCCCTGCCCTCCAGGCCCCCTCCCCCTCCCCCCATTGGTGGTTAAAAGTGGGATCTGCAGTGACTAGGGAATGTAAGACTGTGGCCCTGTGGGTGTTTCGTAGTCACGAAGGATGGTTTGTGCTTTTGAAATGAATTTTGGTGATAGTGAGGTCCCATGCGCCTGTGGGTTGCATGTCGCCCACCCACTCTAGACCTTATGCTTATGAAGAGATGCTTGAATGTTTGCGGACAATTCCCACCCGGATTTCAGAAGCCAGAGCAGGGGGGTCAGTGGATCCAGTGACGACAGGTCAGTTGGAGTGTGGGGGGAACAGCTCGGAGTTGGGCGGGCTGTTGCAGTCCTAACATCACTTCCTGGAGGCATCTGGTGGGTCGTTGTGAGAACGGTGCTGGACCGAAGGGATCTTTGGTTTTCTCGTGCGGCGTGATTATTTTTGTAGGGCTTGTGGAGGTGGGGAACCAGGCTTATGGCGAATACATCACACCTCTGCCCGATGAGTAAAACCACCACAAATGCAGTAGTATGTCAAATAAGAGCAAGTTTGCACAACTGATCCTCTGCATAACTCATTCAGGTCTCAGAATCCAGATGCCCAGGGAAAGAATTTAAGAATTCTTAACCCCTTGCTGACAGCGGCACAAGTCATGCTTTCCAGCCTTTTCAAGTTGCCATCCCTGCTGTGTTAATATGTATGTATATATCTCACACACACATGTATATATGTATTCATATATATGCACATGTATATGTATATACATGTATACATTCATATATATATATATATGCATATGTATTCATATATACATATTCATATGCATATGAAAGAAAAATAGTCAAGTTGCTTTTCACGATTAGCTTTTGGAGTCATACCAGGCCAACTTACTTTGCATGTGTGGTTCTGGTGGCTGATGAAATTTGATTGAATCAGACTAACAAAAGAGGTGGCCTCTATCAAGCAAGGTTCAAGTTGTTGCTAGACTTGCATGGAAGAAGATTTGGGCTGAAGTATACACACATCTACAGATACATGAAAATGGCAAGAGTCGGTGCTTGCAGAAATAACCACGTAAAAGGAGATTTGGTGAAAGAGAGGGGAGAATGGGAGAAAGGGATATAAAAACCAAAGCAAATTTAAGTAAGTTAGTGGCCATCTTTTCTGACGCTAGCAGCTGTCTCTTTTTGGCAGCTCATCCAAGGTTGGTCCTCCAAAGCAGGGCTCCTAAGTATTATTCCCTGAACAAGCAGTAAGTAAACAATCATTAAGGAAAATAATCAAATATTTGGGGGTATTTAGGAGCATAGGCTGGAGTTAAGGGAGAAAGAAAGGCATTTTGTTTTGCTTTTTGCAAGAAGTGGGAAGTGAACTGCCATTGCTTTGAGGTTTTCGGTCCTCAGCAACCCACCTTTAATTTTTCCTTGTGAACACAAAGCTCTCCTGTGGCACAATTAACTGTGCCATGGACTAAAACATTAAAAGGACAAAACCAAAAAGACCTAAACAATTGGAGTTCCCAGATACCAGATCCCAAGGACTTTCAACTTCCCCTCTACGCAGCCTGCAAATGTTGTGGCTGAGGTGAGAATCATTTTTCTGAGGGTTGTGAAAAGCAGTTTTCTGGATTTATTTTGAGGTAGCTAGCAGCTTCCAGTACTTCATAAAAACATTCAACTATGTAAATGTTGAGTGACAGAAATATCTTCTTTGGGTAACCTTCTAACTTTAGCATCATAGCAAGAGGAGAGTCCAGCCATTGCTCTCCCTGTGGCATGTTATACCGAGTTTCTCCCGGGGATACATTCTCTATCATGTTTATTATGGCCTCACTCAGAGGTGGGGAACCTATTCGCCCCCTTGCCCACCCCCCAGCATGAGGGAGATGGGAGCTACTGTCCAGAACATTCAGAGAGCCAGAAATTCTTTACCCCAGTGTAGCTAATGTCACATTCCTTTTTCTTCCTTCCTTCACTCCCTTTTAAAAAATGCAATTACAGGCATAAATCATCACTAACAATCAAAACCTGTTGGGTTTGCAAATTGTGGGCCCTCTTCGAGCCAAAGAGAGTCAGTGAAGCTTCAGCATGAGGTTTTGATAGGTGGTCCTTTCGTGGTCCCACAGATGGTGCTTCGTGACATACTCCTTTGCCCGCATCACAAGTCTTCTGTGCAAAAATGGATCCTCGGTCAGGGTTCGGGAGAGCCGAACAAATTCCTGGAAGAATTAAAAGGCTGCGGTCATTCATGGAATCAACCCCATCATCTCACTGCAGAGGATGGGGTGACACCACAGGAAACAGAGGCAAGGGTGAGTAAGCAAGAATACAATTTCTAGCACTTCTGCACCTGTGGGGACCATTTGTGCGAACGGTCCCTTCCAGGTGATCCGTGGAAGGGATACGGTGCAATGGGCAAGGCTACGGGGTGTTCTCTGGGTGTTTTGGACTACAACTTACACAAGTCCCAGCCAGTCTGGCAAATGATCAGGGATTTTCCAGACTCCATTGCTGTCTATACAGAAACTGATGTATGGCAGTTTTCCCCAACGCAGGACCTCCCAGTTCCAATCATCCCCAGCCCACATGGCAAATGAGGATGATGGGAGCTATACTCCAGCACGTCTTGACCTGCCTGAAGGACTGATCTCGATTGCTCCTGCACACACAGTCTTTGCACAAACGTAGAGATCATCTTCCTCCCCAAGAGAGGGTATCTGCACAAATATTCATTATCCTTAAGCACACAGGTTGGAGGGCTCCATAGATAATAAAAATTAATGGCTTTTCCTGAAGGCTCTCCAGGGAGACATTAAGGGAAAGGAGACATCCAAAGAACTGGTCAAGCTTAGATGGTCATACAAGCTTCCGCTGTACAGAAACAGATCAAAGCAGAATGACGTTGGAAGAGAGCCATTTAGCTTAGCTGTGAGGTGAGCAGTGCAATCAAGGAAAACGAGACATCACCAAAAAGAGCCAGGATGCAAAAGGAAAATAAGCTGAGGGGTGGGAAGTGAATCCAAAAAAGCACATCCCATCCTTCCCTTCACAGTCCTGGCTCAAGTTAAGAAATGATCCCGACCCAAGATGTCTGTAGGGAACGGGCTAGAAAAGCTTTAAATAAATAAATGATGGGGAGGTGAGCTTAGGATGCAAGATTGCAGTCTGTTTGCATTACAAGCAAGTGCCCCAAGGTCATGTGCTCTGTTGTCTGTTTGAACCATCCATAAATACAAGAAAACGAAGACGAGGGGGAGGAATTGGAGTTGGAGGTCATTTCTCCCGTAAAAACCAAGCTGTGCTTGTTAACAAAGAGGTTTGCGCATGAGTTCTCCAGGAAGAAAAATGTCAGGCACCATCATTTTTTCAGAGTGGGGTGGGGGTGGGAGGGAAGGAGGAAGGAGAGGGAAATACTGCACTAGAATAAAGCACTGCCAAAGACTAATGAAAACAGAGAATCCACCTTTCTGGGACTCTGCTTAATAGTATGCATTAATCATAGGCAAGCTGCAGGGGAAAAAAATCTTAAGAAAATGCGTTTCCAACGTTGTTGTTTTATTTAATCTTTCCCCGCACGTGTTCGTACATGGATGCCTTCAAGAGCAATATGGCAGCATTTAGCCAACAATTGATGGAAACCAAACTGGGGTCAACAGGATTAATTCTCTCACATGGGCTCCAGCTACTTTTCTGAGCCTAATTAAGAACAGTGGTTAATTAGGATACATGATGATAAGCACGTGAAGTGGGCATGCTGGGAGCTTAAAAGCATCTAGGCCAGGTTAGATTTGCCGCTGGATTTTCTCCGTGCTGCTGACCATTAAATGTCTGTAGGCAACCATGCTCACAGGTGACCTTCCACCATGACAGAAACAGAAGGGAACAGTGACGCAAACCTAGGGCAGATTCTGCTCAGTAGAAACATAGAACATAGAAACAGAGTGAGTCAGAAGGGGTCTCCCGGACCACCTAGTCTGACCCCCAGCTCCTTCTGGCTCCACTCATGACATGCCCACCATGTGCACTGAATTGCTCCATTAGTCTGTTTTTTTTAGGCACTATAGATCAATGAGTGTCAACGACATTAGGCAGGGTCATCTATTTATCTCAGGCTGGAATAGTATCCTTAGATCGCCAAATGCCGTAAGTCGAACAGAACAGTCCTACACATGGATACGCCCAGGGAGATGTCACAGGACTGGATTGTGCCTCACAGTTTTTACTTTCTTACCTGGGGGGTCGAATACAACAATCCCGTTTCTTGGTGGGCAATTATTGCCGCATTTCCTGGGATGTTCCTCGCCAACACTGGGATGCTTAAATCCATGGCCTAAAGAACAGTGCAGAGGAGAAAAGACTTGAGTTTGGTGAAAGATTCTCAGGCAACCGAGGGTTACTGCTTATAGAAACCAGGAAAGCCCTACCATGAGGTCTGTTTGCATCCTTGTCAAGCAAGCACCACTCCCCTGATTCACATTTTAATTATCACTGTGGGGGCTTCAGAAGTGCTGAAAACATAGTCTTGAGTGCTTAATGGCTCATCTTGTACGATTATCACAGTGTCAGACAACAGGAAGAAATTCACTCTCCTGGTCGTTCAATCCATACTGATTCACTGGCGCTCAGGGAGAGAGTGCACTTTTAATTAAAGACTTTATGGTTTCCAAAGGGAAAGAGGGGCAATTTCCCCTGGCATGATCAGCACCGAAACAAAGCATGCAACATTTTGGGTGGGAGAATTCAGAAAAGGGGATTCTCTGAGCTTGCCTGTACACACACATTTTTCTTCATGGCTGCCATGACGAGCTGATGGGCCTGATTAAGTAACCATGCAATCTTGTGCACGCCTCTTCAGAAGTTAGTCTTGAGAGAAGCATCTACAAATAACTCCCAACTAATTTAAGAAAAAAACCTGGATGTGCCAATAGTTCAAATCCAGTACTGAGAAAATGTGCACATCTGGAAGCACCAACCAGATGAAGCAGAGGCAAGAAATATTGTCAGGTGTAGGGTCTGACTGGCCCTGGAAATGCCTGGTCTCCCGCACTGCTGCTCTTGGCCGCATCCAGACGAGCTGTCCTGGGGCCTTCCCTGTGCATTGCCTTCCTGTATCACTGAACCCGAATGTCTCCACAGAAGCTGTCCTTCAGACTGTGCTCTCTGGCTGTGGCTTTGGGTTATGATACTTCAGGCTGTGCTCGCTTGGATCTTGCATCTCCCTGGCTTTGACCCTGGACTGTTAAATGTGCATGCCTCTTCCTTCTGGCCCCCTGAACCTGTTGCAGGACTCCTGCGCCCTGTCCTGGCTTTCCAAACTCAGTCGCCCTGGCCTACCATGCCCTGGACCTTACAAATATACTGCACCCATCCAGCAGCAAAAATGCTGCCTGAATCCTTTGGATATATGTATAATTAAAGCAGCCCTGATTTTTTACACGCACATGCAGATGTATCAGCCTTCCTGAACATAATGGCCTCCAGTTGTTTAGGACAGCTCCCATCATCCCCACTCAGTCAAGGATACTGGGGATTGTAATAATCTAGTAGACCTGGAGGCCAGTATGCTGAGGAAAGTTCTCTCTCTCTCTCTCTCTGTATATAAAAAGCATAACATTTTTAGGGTCACTTTGACTATACATGAATCAAAATGATCCAAGCAGCTTTTTTCCACCAGCAGGTTTTAGTTTCCTTATAGCCTTCCAGAGCAAAATCTTCAGGGGTTAAGGAAATGAAATTTAGACAGATGGCTTTTTCTCCCATCAACCATTGCAGGCAGGGGGTTTTACCTAATTAAAAGAGTGCCCTCTTTCCAAGAGCGCTCTTTTCTTTGCTTGCTATGCAAATGCTCCACTTTAATGTCCAGGTTAACAGGAACAGCCACAGGGAAGTTGGAGAAAAAGGCCTTAAAGCAAACATGTGGCAACATTTAGGGCATGACACATCTTGGGGACTCCCCCGGTGGAAAGTTAATCACACCCCTAGAGGAAAACATGGCAACAGGGCTGTGCAAATCACTCTGTCCACATATCCAATAGGTACCAATTCCACATGGGTTCCCTAGTTTGTCCATCCCATCCAATTTCTGCATGAAGCTGCAGCTTTTTAAAAAAGCACAAAAAATGTCCTATTCTTACGCGTCTGCACAGAAAAAGCCCAGGCCATCTGGGAAAAGCTGATTGCTGAATGGCATTTTTCTAACTATGCATAAGTTTTCCCCTTCTGTGCAGCATTTTATCACAAAACACACATTTCTTGAGGCTCTTAGCCTATCCCTTTACTGATACTTCTGCTTCCAGATTCTTTGTGGGGTATAAGATCATCTCCTTTCCATGTGCTTTTTCCCCTTGGAGGTTTTTTCCCTGTCTTTCTACATGTTCCAGCACACGGCCACACGATGGCACTGTGCTATAATGAAATTGCACTAACATGCAATTGCACTAACATTCACAAAAACCAAGCAAAAACCAACCTTCCTTCCATCTAGAAGAAAGTGCAGTGATGGTTCCAAAGACCAGGAGGCCCTGAAGGAAAATGATGTCATAGAAAGTATCCCAAACTACTGTTTGCAAGAATGCATGAGAGCACAACGAACACCTGAGCGGAATGACCCACAATCTAAATGAGCACACTTCTAAAAGGATGTTATTCGAAAATGTGCATTTCTGGATGCTTTTCTGAGCCAAGGACTGCACAAAGAGCCCTTTTTAACTCCTCCTCCTTCAGCATGAATAGCCATAGAAGCCCGGACAGGGTCTTTTGAATGGAAAGCCTCAGCCATGGAGATTATCTTGCCTGGGATATACCGCCTCCCTTTCCTCTGACCATCCGCCCTTGGTGGTTTGGAGCCTGGTCAGGTCTTCTGCAGGGACTTAAAGAGAAGACCCTCTGGCAACAGCTGCTCTGCATTGAAAGGCATCTGGGATAGCAAAACCCTGTGGTTCTCTGACCATCACACTCTGGACTGACTCCAAATCAAATCAATAGCATGGGCAGCAATTATACAATTCCATGTTGGCACAAAGAAGAGTTTGAATTATTGTTTCTTATGGAATGGCACCTTGTTGTGTACGTATTTCCCCATTTTCTGTGCATTAATGCTCCACTCAAGCTTTATGGAGAATGTAGTGAAGTGCAGGGGGATTTGCCCTATCTGTTTTGCTAGATTGCCTTCCTCTCTGCTAGATCTCCTTCCTTTCCTTCCTCTGAAATCCAAGAGATCCTGTGACCTTTTGAAATCTGATTAGAGCATTCAAACAAACAACCCATTTGTGCTTCCTTTGTTCCTTCTTTCCTCCTCCCTTCTTTACAAATCCTCCCCCGCCTTAACATCCTGCTTCAAGCATACTTCTATGATCAAGAGGGCTAGAAACTTTTTTTCTTTAAAGACTTCCCCTCCAATCTTTAAATTAAAACTTTGGATGTTCATGAGGAGAGATAGAAAGAACTGGGCATGTTTAGCCTCAAGAAGAGAAGTCCGAGAGGAGACATGATAGCCCTCTCCAAGGACTTGAAGGCTGTCACAAAGAGGAAGGTCAAGATCGCTTCTTGATCATCCCGGAGTGTAGGAGATGGAATAATTGGCTTCAGCTACAGGAATCCAGGTTCTGGCTGGACATCAGGAAGAAGTTCCTGATTGGTAGAGCAGTACAGCAATGGAACACACGACCTGGGGAGGTGGTGAGCTTTCCCACACTGGAGGCCTTCAAGATGCAGCTGGACAACCATCTGAGAGGGACGGTTGAGCTTGGACTCCTGCACTGAGCAGGGGGTCAGACCCGATGCTCCTCTGGCTCCTTCCAACTCTACTATTCTAGGATTCTATGGCCTTTACACAAGGCTGCTATTTAGAGGATTGCACTGCTATCACTCCTCGCCCTTCGCTGTGCTGACCAGGGATGATGGGAATTGCAGGCCAGAGAATTTGTAGGACCGCAAGTTTCCAATCTCTGCCCATTATTGCTGACAAATATTGTCAACTCCACAGGCTGGCTGAGATTGCACACACGGAGCAAGACGGTGGCAGGGGAAACGTCTTTGGCTTTTTGTGCTTTTGCAGGTTTCAAAAGGCAGACAGGGAGGCTGATGGAGATTTCAAATGGAATAAAGCAAAGGAATGTTCAACATGGTGCTCGACGCTCAGATGTAATTACCTCCAAGATTGCAGCTGACATCCCCTCTGAAATGGAACTGTTCACAACAGCGAAGCTTTTTTTCACCACCGCGTGGAGATCTTTCTGGGGAATCTCACGGAGCAAGTGCACCCCATCCGCCCTAGCAAGCAAACACTGGTTTGTCCATTAGTGGGCCTCCAGGCAATGAACTTTGGGATCATCCAGAGTGACTGAATGGGAGGAGGTTGAGGGGCAACAAGAAGTTCTCATTTTAGGAAAAGAAAAAAAAATCTTAGGATGCTGCCCTTAGGAATGTGCAGATTTGAGGGTGCCTGGTTTGAGCTCGAAGGACATCCTGTCCACTTCCAAGCCACTGATCAAAAAAGGCCCGAGTCAGGTGTTTTTGCACAGAGTTCTGAGATGAGCTCTGCTTTGCAGCATTTCTTATTTCAATAATTTTTAAATTTAAAATGCAAACAAAAACACTACATTTAAAAAGCAAACATAAAAATTAACATACAAAGATAAGTATTACATTACTGTAACTCCCACCACCCAGACTATGGATACATGCCACATATAAAAGAAAAAAAAAACCTTGAAATATTTCAGGAGAGTCCTTCCTTCCAAACTGTAATGATACTTTTGATGGCTCAAATCCATTCCCTTCCTTTAAAGCACAGTCAGTGATTAAAACATAGTAAACAAAGCTTTGAACCCTTTCTTAAAACACAATTGAACTCTGTGCAAATGCTTCCATTTGCAAAACTTCGTGCGACTTGTCCAAATCACAATATTTGCATGTGTTGCTCAAACTGGCATGCAAAAGGCACATTGATTGAGCACAGTTTGCTTTAGGTCAGTTGACATGCATATATTGCATGAGATCCACAGGCTTTCCATGGTCATGTTTATTGCTGTGAACAGGGCATGCTTGCATGCTTTGCAAACCAAAAAGACTCTTGTACATCCCTGCTCTTGCCCCGTCCCCATCACCTTGAGAGACCAGCCCAGGAGTGGCTGTGGGTGTTCCGAGCACCGTGTCTTGCCTCCTGCTCACCATGGAAGTGGTAAATGCAAGTGTACAGGAGACAGGTGTGCACAGAAGTATGCAAAGTGCTTGGACAAGGATGAGGATGATGATGGTGTGAGAGAGGCTGGTTCTTTTCCAGCTCCGATGCAAATTCAAGCTGGAGAAGAACCACAGGGATCAAGATGCTCTGTTTGTATTTGAAGTGAGCGCACCAAACCACAGATGCCCTTATTTCCGAGGCAGAAAAAGAAACAAAGAACAAGATGCATTTCATCACTGCTCCCAGAACGACATGAACAAAATAAAACCTCTTGGTACATAAAGCAAATGGCATACGTAGCATACCGCTTTACTTTCTCTTTGACTTCCTCTGCAAATACTGGATCGACCTACGGCAGAAAATAAGGGAAAAGAAAACAGAGCAGAAAATGGATCATGTCAGCAAAGTACCCTCAATATTGGGAAAATATTTGTCTGCTTGGGCAGAAAATGCCACACCCTTTGCCTAATGCTGCCTTTTCCTAGGAATGGCAGGTTAAAACAGGGCGACATCTTTGTTCGATGCTGCACAGCCAGAAGGGCAATTCTTTTGCAACAACTTTCTCCCCAAGGTAATGTTTCTAAGCAGAGTTACCTTCACAGTAAAACAAGGCAATCATACGTCTACTTGCAGCTAAGGCATTTTGCTGAACGCTCTTTCTTCTTTTGCCTTTCCATTCACACCCTATCTGGCCCAGGGGGTTCTTTGAGAAGCAAAGATGTGACACAAGGGCATTGCTCAACGTATTCATGGATTCTGAAGTACATTCAATTTTGGAGAACAGGGTGGGAATCTCAGCAGAGTTAGGACATGACAAAGAATGCTTACTTTTCAGTGCAGTGGTTATTTATAACACAAAAGCTGTCAATGTTGTTGGAATTGTATTTATTATTAATATTGATCTATTGTTTAATATAATCCAATCCCTAAGCACCCTTCATATGATAATATTCATATAATAACAAACACAGTTTAAAAGATACCATGAAAACAATTGTAGCTACAATAGCAATATAAGCTTTATGGGAACAGTAAAATTAAACACTGTGATTCATTACAGTGATGATGAGAGATGAATGAGTGGAAAAGGCAATGATTAAAGTAAACATTATAAGAGATGAAGTGGTATTACCTACTACAGCAGGTGGGAGGGGTTGCGGGGGAGGTTGAGCACATTTAGGTGGACGGACCCATTGCCTAGGTCCTTTAGGTAGATGGCTAAGATGTCTTTGTTCAGGATTCCACAAATCAAGCCCAGGCTTAGTAGCCAACAATGATTTCTGTTAGCCAGCCAGAAGAGAGTGCAAGTGCCTCTAAACTCAAGCAGAAAGCCTTTGTTTTTGAACCCAGAAAGGGACAACTTGTCTGGCCCTGGGAGCTCATTGGACAGGTGGCTTTGTTCCCAGAAAACCCCACAGGGTCAGAGCAGGACCCTAGATGGGTGTGATGGTTTCACATCCATGCTTTAGAAAAAAGTTAAAAGGTGCTATGAAAACATTTTATATTTAAATAAATGGGCTCATCTAGTATAAAGCAGTTTTGTATGGCTCGGTTTCAATGTAGCCCAAACAGTCCTCTTTTTCTAAGGAGTCCTCTGCTGAAGCATAAGCATTTTTGGAACCTTCAAAGAGGCAATTCTTCTAGCAGGAATAACTGTGTTCAGGATGCATGCTGTTCGAAGAGATTCCCACATTTTGGGGGTGCCAATCGATCCTTCCCATTCCAACGGTTCATTTGTAGGGGAAAGTGAAGCAAATGCAAAACAACAACTAAAGCGCCTGAAGTCTTTAGAGAAGGCATTGGAAGCAGAAACTGCATTATACCTGCCTCCCAATTTTCTCTTCCACACCAGTTCTCTTTCAAATCTTGCAGTGTATTAGAGTGGAAAGAAATGAAGATTAAAAAAGGAAAAACAAATCAGCAACCAGCCAGCACAATGAAAGTGGGAAGGTAATAAGACAGGACAATTTTTTTAATGAAAATATAGGGGCTGAAAGTTTTATATGACGAGTTATAAAGGGGAGAACATGCGCTCGGTTTGCATCAGAGGTGTTTGGGGCTGAGCATGAAGTGAGAGGATGAGATTCGTTGCGGCCCTTGTTGGGGCTGGCAAACTTTACCAAGGTGCTGCTAAACACAGGTGACTTGATGGTTCTCTTGCACATCGAAAAAAAGGGAAAGGGGGAGGGAATAGTTTGAGTGCAATCTTATGGGTTGGGCTCCTGATAGACAGAGCACTGTTTGCAGCCCAACCCATGCCCTGCCAAAGAGCGAGTTGGCCACTCAGCCCATTTCTCTGGTTTCCTTTTGACGGACAGGGAAGGGACAGGAGAGGTCACAGAATTCGGCATTCGCTGGCCTCTCCTCTCCACTCCTTTCCCCTCCCACCATTTCACCCTCTCCAACTTCTCTTAAGAGGTCACAGTTGTGACCTCTTAAAAGGTTCCGCAGTGGCTGGGGGAGAGTGGTGATGGGGGAATTCACGATTGAATCTCCTCCTAGAGCAGCAAAGAGATAATCTTATAGAAACACATCCTGGAAAGAGAGAAAAACATCTCTAGAAGCTTCAGTCTGGTTTGCTTTTGGTTTCCATGAATGATGAAGGAGAGAGCGAGCTATTCCTTCCTCTCTTTAACAGCACACACTCTTTGCTTTGCTGTCCCATACGCCTGGAACAACAAAAAGCAAAAAGCAGGAGCTGAACCAATGGGCTCAAATTCCAAGGAAGGGGATTTGGGCTCAACATCTTGAGGAGCAGCTCAGTGGTGGAACAACAGGTGGTCTTGGAAGGTGGTGGACTCTGTCAGAGGTCTTTAAGCAGAGGTTGGTGGCCATCTCCCCGGGATGCTATAGGAGAGGCATCTTGGACCAGCAACTGGAGAAGGTCTTACCTCTGAAGCAGGGCATCAGGAGATCATGAGGCCCCCTCAACTCTGCAATTCAGAGATCAATGGTCACTCAAAGGGCCCACAGAAGTGGCTGATATTGAGAAAAGGACTGGGGGCAGGCAATCTGCCCTTTTTGCCTCCTGTCACTGCCTGACTCACTTTTTATGCATATCAAGCACCTTCCTATCTAAAAGCCAGTTCCTAATATGACCGGAATTGAATGTGACCATCTGGCAATTACCTCTCACTACTGGTGGAGGCTATTGCCAAAATATTGGGGGAGAAGTGAGGGGAGATGAAAGGGAAGGAGATGGTGAGCAGTTTCTGGGAAATGGGCTTTTAATCCAGGTAATGCATCTTCACCTGCATCGTAAAGAAGGAACCTTTGGGAATTTGTTGGCCACAGGCAACAGCAAGGGAACAGGTCCCTTTATTTTGCCTTCCCATCCATTCTAAGCATTTTCAGTATCAGAACCCCAATTTTGGCCTGACCCTCAAAATAAAGCAGATCTAGCTGGAGGTTGTTTCTGCCTCGTGCAACTTCCATTGTCAGTTGTACAGACTCTTGCCAGACAGAAATCTCAGTCATTTGCTACCAGCGAACATCCCGCAATGATGTGCAAATGCAGACCAGCAGAAACAGTCTCAAAATAGTCTGAACTGAGTGCAACATGGAGAGGAGCTGTTGGTACTGATGTGAGAGGCATAGGGAGAGGAATCGTGGATCATCAGGAGTTGAGAAACATGTTTACTGCATGAGAGACAATGGTGCCGACTGTGTGGAGGCTGAGGGGCGGGTCCAAATCTTCAGAAAAGTGGGCAGTACCATCAGGAGCAAACAGCAAGGCTAACAAAGCAGACCAATCTTTTAGCAGACAAACAACCTGAAGATCTGGATCTCCATCAGGGCCTCTGCTGCTTTTGTGTGTTTTCCATTGCAAGCAGGTTTTTGGTCCAGTGAGTGATTCCAATAACTGATCCTGAAGATTCAGGAGCAATGCATCCCACCAGTTCGCCTTCCTTGGGTCCAGTCTGAAGCAGTTGGTTCTTAATCTTATCCAGGAATTCAGCACCCCATGAAATACAGTAGTGACATTAAATGCCTTTTCATCTATTGCCCCCTTGTGGCTAATCGTCCAACCCCCATCTGAAGTTTGGTTTATTTATTTATCTATTTCTAAATACAAATTCTATGCAAAAGAAATGTAATTCATTTTCCCTGCCGTCATCTTGTCACAGGCTGAAGACAAAGCTACTGTTGCAGTTTTGTGAAGCCCTTGTACTGATCTGCATACACGGGTGGAAATAGCCTGTGATCTTTGGCTTAAGCCACACAGAAATTAAACCCCCTTGGAGGAAGTGTGGAGCAAAAGATAGGAAAGAAAGATGAATGAATCCCAATGGTGCACGAAACTGTCTCCTGACAACATGCGCTGTTTTAGAATTATGAATTAAGAATCACACATTTGTCTGTAAAAACAGCACGACAAGGATTGGGCCATCTCCAAGCATCCAGGATGTTTCATTCCTTCAAGTTGGGTTATGTGGGAGGCAGAAGAAAGGGTGGGATCGCCTGCGCGATCAGGGGATGATGAACAATGGGCCAGTGAGGGCTTCCAAGTCCCAACTGGAAGTCCGAAGGAAAGTCCCAAGGCAAAAGCTCTCCTCCCTGCCACCCAATCCACCTAAATTAGGTCTATTGGAAACCAGAAGAAGGTTTGGCTTCTGCACAGAGGCTGGGAAGACAGAAAGCTGCCCTCTACTGACCTAGGCCATGGGTCCATCAAGCCTAGCACCGTCAACACTGGCTGGCAGTGGCTGCCCAGGGCATCTAGCAGGCCCTTCCCAGCCCTACTTGGAGATGCCAAGGTCTGAGCTTGGAACCTTCTGCCTGCAGAGCAGGGCCTCTGCCACTGAGCTGTGATCCATCCCATTGTATGTTCATGAAGCACAGCAGAGCACTGGTGACATCCCGGCCAGCGCTTCCCTCATTCCCCCATCATTCCCATCTCAGCTGCACTGGATCGATCCCAGAGTTCTAATTTGAAAACCAGGACAAAGTTGATCCTTCAGGTTTGGACATTTGTCTGCTCCTGTTTCAAACCACAGTATGAGGTCCTTTCATCACCGGCATTTCCACCTTCACAAATGTGAGCAGACTGCACAAAGCTGAGCATCCACCTTATGGCTGGTGGTCAGAGAAGAGAGACAAGGCCATGGGAAGGGGCAGAGCCACTTGAAGACCCCTGAAGCATCAGACTGTGGACCTGCAATGGGTCAAGTTGGCTCCTGGACCTGAAGTTCTGCATCCCTGGACAAGAGAGACACCGACTGGGGTGCAGAGATCGGCTAAAATGCAATGGCGTTTATTCTCTAGCATGAGCAGCCCTATCATGAGGTGAGGGAAGGAAGGTCTGGGGTGCCTCTGGGGGCAGAGAGATCAAATCTCTTGGACAGCATCTGGAAAGAGGTCCTGCACAAGCCCCGTGGTGCCAAACTTCTCAGTGGGGAGGACAGACAATTGCATTAATAGCACTCGCAATGAAATGAGCACACACTTATGTACAACAAAAATCAAGGGATCTGCATTTAGAAAATCGTCCTGAAGAAAAGTGGGGAAGTGGTCGTAACTTACTGCCGGTCCAATGATAATCAGGTGCACTCTGGAATCCTCTCTGTGCCATTCTATCAAACAACGGAAGAAAGTTCTGGTTATGCAGAAAATGACACTGTTCTCCAAACCGAAGGTTAAGACATCAAGAGGTTCAATTCTGTCTCAACCCAGGACTAAGTTTTAAATTCCACTAAACATGTGAATTGGATTATTGGACATCTATATTTTCAGCAACTGTTTTGCAAATGGCCAAAACATCGCTGTCACTGCCAGTAGTTTCTGAATGTGGTTGGTCTCGATCCTCAAAGACTACAATCCCTGCCCAATGCACAGAAACCTGGAAATCCCCCAAATGCACCATGCATATAATGTAGTAGACTCCAGCTCACAAGAGCTTATGCCATGATTCTCCTGTTAGACTTTAAGGGGCTACAGGACTCAACCGATAATTGGCTTCCATTCTATACACAGTAACTGGGGAGAGAGACCCAGAGGTTTACCCCTGAGCAGAAACAGGTAGGGTCGCATTCCAATATGTGTGAATATCTGGATGGATTTAACTGATTCCAATTTCCTGGGCAGCTTTGCCATTTGGGGCCGGAGAAAACCTACAAATAAATAGCAAAGCATCCTTTTAAACCAGGAGGCCAGATCCTTGATGGGTGCAGGGGTCCCCGACCTAGAAAATAGTTCCCATGGGGTGTCTGTGTGGTCACGAAATGCCACCATGGGTGGGCACCATGGTTGCTTACAAGACATGCATTTCCTAGAAGGCCATGGATGAGACTAAAAGTGAACCTGCCCAGCAACCTGAGCAGGAAGCCAAAGTGGGGTTTTCAGGTGGCCAGACGTAAAACTCTGCCCTGGAACACAAATAAAAATGATACCGGAGGAAAGCATGGGCTGTAGAGAGCACCGGCCTCCTTGTTTTGCTGCAATTTGTCTGAAGACAATAAAAATCAGAAGGCGTAGGGAGCGTAGCAGGGCCAAGATAGTGGGGCAGGGTTGGTGCTCATGCTGGTGAAACCAGTCTTTGTGAGGAGGGGGTATTCCAACGTAATTCTTAAAAGAACTTGAAGGAGGGTGCTATGAAACCTTGCAGGACAAGAGATCCATGGCTGAAAGAGTTCAGGCATACAAAAACAGTGGCTGGAATCCACAGAAGTCCCACGAGAACAGGAGAGCTAATTGATTTGTTGACTAAATGTCATAAAATCAATCTGCTAAGCTCGGCTTAATCAGGTGACAGCCCTCCTTTTATTAGTGAAGTGCACTACTTACTCCGCCAGGTTATATTTAGATAGGAGTATTTATAGCTTCATATCCACACAGAGAGATTGGATTAGTCCGACCATTAATTCCATCATCTAATCAATGATCTGTCACTGAAGTCTCACTCGGAGTTCATGTCACTTTTGTGTTTTCCCTTCTTTAACGCAACTGCAATGCTTTGGCTTTCTCGCCTGTGCGTGCACACACACAAGCACAAACACACACACAGAGGCACATGACTCCTTAGCAAAGAAATCTGGGCATGTCCAAAGAACTACAGTTCCCAGAGTTCCTTGGAGAAACCTGCTGAAAAGCCAGTGATTCCGACTCCTGAACCAAAAAACAAAAAAGGTTGCATTTGGCAATGTCTTTAAAAATGCAGAAGTAATCCAGACATGTATCCAAAACAAAAGTCTTCTTAGAATCTCTTCCATGTTATTCTTAAAGCCCAAATGCACAATATATTTTGCTTTCCTTGGCGTTCAGCTATTCCCAGCAGGCAAGGAAAAGCACCCATTTTGGAAACTATTTCAGGTTCAGATCAGTCTTTATACGTGGGCTTGTATACACAGAAGGAGGAAGATTGTCACGTGGAACCAGAGAGTTTCTACCTGCCTCTTTAGTTGCTGTGGATCTCCAAGGCCCATCATCCATAGGCCCTGCTGGCTACAGCCTAGGACACCACCAGATGCTCAACCTGGGTGCAGGTAATATGAGCCAGCCAGATGGACTGATGGTCCAACTCGGTGACTGATGTTCTTCAGCAGTGAAATGGAAAGTGGTGGGTACTGACCTGCAAAAGCATCCACTACATAGAGAGGATCCTTGACTCTTCTCAGTCCACAAATTAAGAGGAAGACACAGAGACTGTCGCTGTCCTGGGAAATCCCTGTTTTAAAACAAGCATCACCAAAAAGTCCTTAAAATACTAGGGGGAAAATGAAAAAAGGGAAATAAGTACAAAACCAGCAAAGTCGGTAAAGACAGGGACTGAGTCATATGAAATACTAGTTTTCCTTTACTCAGAATTGGCTAGGCCTCATCTGGAGTACCGTGTACTTAAAATGGAGTACTGGAGTACTTAAACTGAGCATCACAGTTGAAGAAAGATGCAGGCAAGTTGGAAAGGTGATCCAGGGACTAGAAACAAAGCCCTGTGAGGAGAGATTGAGAGAACTGGGCATGTTCAGCCTTGAGAAGAGGGAGATATGATAGCACTCTACATGTCCTTGAAGGGCTGCTACAAAGAGGAAGGACGGGATCTCTTCTCTGTCGCCCCACAGTGCAGGACATGGAATAACAGGCTCAAGTTGCAGGATTCTGGCTCTGAGATTCCTGATTCTCAGAGCAGTTCAACAGTGGAGCCAATGACCCAGGGAGGTGGTGGGCTTTCCCCCACTGGAGGCATTCCAGGGGCAGCTGGACAGCAACTGAGAGGGGTGGCTTAGCTTGGAATCCTGCACTGAGCAGGGGGTGGACCGGACCTGATGGCCTTCTTGGCCCCTTCCAACTCAACCCTTCTAGGATTCCATGGTTCTCCAAGTGATCAGTTCTTGCACTCACCTGACTTTTTGTCAGGATCAGGGCCCCAGTGGCCCTGCAAGTGCCTGCAGAACCAGCAGCACCTTTGCAGGTGCTTCCAGGGATCAACCGAAGAGCAATCATTCCGGGCAGCTGGAGACCCTGACCACCAGCACCAAAGGCTTTCTGGCACTGCTGTTCTGCGCAAGCTGTCTGGGAGGCTCCTTGTGCTCTGGCCTGGCACCTCAGAGTCCTGCTCCAGCTGCGTGTGCTCCAGCCCTGTTCCAGTTTGTTCCTGCCTGACCCTGGTGTGCTCCCACCTTGCTCTACTGAGCGTCTCCTCCGGCTTGACCTTGGACTGGTAACTTGCGCATGCCTTAAGTCCCCAACTGGCTGCATAGCCCCACTGTGCATAGGTACCCTGGTCCCAGCATTCTGCCTCTCCCAGCCCTTACACCTTTCCTCCCTATAAGAAAAGCTGAAGGGGGGAAAGCCCATGTGCATAAAATCATCGAACGGTAGAGTTGGAAGGGGCACCACTTTCCCCTTTCTCATTCTCTCCTTGCAGCATACTTAGAAAATCATCAGTTCCCCATCAGTGCCTCTTCTGGCATGAGCTTTCCCAGGTACAGCCCAGCCCTCCTCCAAGGGAGGTGCAGCGGGTGGTGACACAGAAGAAGTCCTTCTCCACAGTGGCCCCTAATTACAGAACTAATTCCTGCATCAGGAGTTGCTCAGCACTGACATGGTCATCTTGTCAGCACCAGGTTACGCTCTTCCTGCACTCTCAGGCATTTGGTCGTGTACGATTGGGTTTTTAAGTGGTACCTGAAATTACTTACTGACGATAGTTAGAATTGTTCATCAGAGTGTGTGTTGTCTGTTTTGGTTTGTATGTAAATGCTTTTTGGTTGCAGAGAGTGTGGCATCCTTCAGGCTTTCAGTCACTGTGGTCCACCCAGAGAGCTTCAGCCATTGTGCATTAAGGAACTATAATAAATGAAATGCTTTGAGATCTTGGTGATCTCTTTTAAGACTGGCATAAACTGTGGGATGCCCAGCTCTCTCGTGCTGTCAACATGGCTCTGAGCACTTATTTTCCCTAAATGCCACCAGGGGATTGTTAGCGGATGGCACGTTCCAGTGATATTGCTTTTTAAAATTAAAAAGCCAACCCAGGGATTTAAAAATGCTTTCATTTTCATTGAATTTTAAACCGCATCATTTAGCTTCAATCCGAATAGAATGAAGTATCACATAAGGCTCCAGAAAACAGAATAGGGGATGAGGTGTGATCCAAGGAAGTATGATTTTATGAATCGTGTTATTAGAAATGAAATAAGGTGCAAGGACTCAAAACAAGGGCTCAATTACAAGATGTTGACTAAAGCATACTAAAGAAAAAGGAAGATTTGTAATGCTCTAAAATACTTTTGTGCATATTACTTCACATGAAAGTGATCCTTAATGCCAATTTGTTTAATATTCCAATAAGATCTAAACTATTGCCATTGTTCTCCAAATTGATTTTTTGCTTTCTGCCTTTACACAGAGGTAACTTGTTTAGCTTACTGTAGCGAAATGCCTCTGCCTTTTTTTAACAACTGCTCTTCCATGGCTGACACTTTTCTTTTTCTGTCCCTGCCCCCCTCGTATTTAGAAAAAGATCGTTCTGGTATCTGTGAATGTACAAAACAGTATTCCTTGATCCCTGGAAACTTTCAGGTATGTCCGTGAGAATGTAGTCAATGTGATAATGGATCTTAAACTCTGCTTCAGACATGCTGATCACAGAATCACAGAATAGTGGAGTTGGAAGGGGCCAGCGGGCCACTGGGTCCAACCACCTGCTGCCGCAGGACTCCAAGCTACACCATCCTGTACTGGTGACTGTCCAGGTGCTTTCTGAATGCCTCCAGTGGGGGAGAGCCCACAACTTCCCCAGGTGAAAGTCTCCATTGATACACTGATCTGACAGTGAGGAAACGTTTACTGGTGTCTAGCCTAAATCTAGTTTCTTTCCAGTCTGGGTACTCCATGTCCAACGCTCAGAACGAACAAGAACAGATCTTGTCCTTCCTCTTTGGGACAGTCTTTCTGGTCCTTTTAGATACTTCTACTTTAACTCTAATCATATAGAGTAGACATCTAGAAACCTCATGGCCCTCCCAGAAATTTTGGCCTACTACTCCCAAGATCCTTCACCATTGGCTGTGCTGGCAAGGACTGATGGGACATGTAGGTCAAAGGTAGGTCAAAACTGCCAGAGGGCATTCTTGCAAAAAATGGCTCAGTTCAGCACAAGAAACAAGCTGAGCCAGGATACCGATCAAGGAAGCAGAAGCAATTACTTTGTTTCCTTCTCTCTGGCCCATCAGCTGATGCTCTCAGGCCTGCTCCCAGCCATTTAAAAACATCAAATGCAGCTGCTCGTTATTGCTGCCGCTTCCTCAATTATATCCCCACAAAATCCCAAGGGAGTGATTCCATACAGCCGAAAGCTCATCGCACTGTTCCATGACTCATCTCAAACTAAGACGCAACATTTCTGATTCCTGTTGATTCTGATCCTCCCGAGACAAAGCTCTCTTGAAGATGGCAAACTTGTCTGAGATGGTAATCTTCTTCTTCTTTTTTAAATGGGGAGTATGTGGATCAAAAACAGCATTTATCCCTGATTCAGCAGCTGCAGTGACTGGAAGTACCTCTTTCTTGGAAGGATGAAGTCTTGATTTATTAGCCCTCTTGCCTCATATCACCTTGAGGCTTGTTGTGTGATTCCTCCAGTGGAAGCCAACAGTAGCAACATCTTGCAGGGTAAATCCTTCTGTGAATTAAGGCAGCCTTCACTAAGTGGACAATGTGAGGTGTTCTGCCCTACAACTCCCGTCAGCCCTGGCCAGCAGAGTCACGAATGCTGTGAGTTGTGGTCCCCAAGATCTGGAGGGAAAGGTGTGACCGACGAGGATGGGTGCAATGTGAGACGGAGAGGCTATTTCTGCCTGCAGCCCCACATTGCCGGTCACGTAGTCCTGCTGCGCGTCGGCTTTTATTAGTGGAAATTAAGGTGCAGCATCTTTGTACACTTATTCTGCTCCCCCTGCAAAAGCAGACTTTGCTTTTCTCTGGGTATAATCCCCTTCTAGGCTTTGTAAATACAATCAAGAGAGCATATCAAAAAAAGGAAAAATCCTGAAGGATCTCCAAAAGAACACTTAAAAAAAAAGGAAAGAAAGAAGAAAGTACAAAGCGAAACACAGGAAACATCCATTTAAAAGGGGCTTTAGAAGAGCATTCACTTAATGCCACCCCAGCATGTGCGCCAAAGCATGAAAAAAAGCCCAACTGTTCCAGAATCGCCGATAAAACTCATACAAAACACGTCTTTGAGATCGTTAATCTTACTGAGGGGCCTACAGGCCTCTACGCAACTTAGCAATATCAAAGAGAAACTTGCTAGAAGAAAGCTGCTGGAGAGAGAGTATCTTATCTTAAGTGACTTATATATTTTTTTTCCCCGTTCGCTCAAAGAAAGAAAATGCAAGACCTTTTGTCCTATTTGAGGCTCTTACACAGCTGCCCGCCTTGCTGTGTTCAGCGATAAGAGAACGATCAACATCCCTTAAAATGGGAGACCAGTTTTGGACCTGTGCAACGGCTCCAGCAACGAGTGGCACAAAAAAAGACAGTTGGCCCCGGGTCAAGATAATCCCCAGTTGTTCGACATGAACAGGCAGCAGCGCATACCGGTTCTTGGGGGAAAAGACAGGGAAAGACCATCACCACAGAATGTGGTAGACCTCCCGAAGGTTCCCCTCTGGAAGCAAGATGCTGGTCTTAACCACCTCCAGATGGATCCCAGCACTTGTGTGCACACTGGTTGTGGATGCTGGGCAATGTAGTCTAACATCTGAAGGAGGGCAAGTTGGGGGAAGGCTGGTTAGACCATTGCTCCAGTTCAAGGATGGGGACAGACCAGACCAGAACCTTGCAAGTGCTTCTTGGAGCGTGCACCCATTGGTAACCAAAATGGCGGCACCTAGCCACACACAGCAGCTCTCCCTGGGCTTGGGGAACTGCTGGGTTTGAAGTGACCAAATCTTCTAAATCCCTCAACCAAAGAGAAGGGGTGGAAGGCACCCCACCCCAAGCAGCCCAACGTAATTTATTTTGTCTATACTACCCCACAGCCAAAGCTATTTGGGCAGTTTGCACCAATCCATAAAACAGATCATAAAATATAGAAAATCAGAAAATGTTAAGAGGTTTAAAACAGCTAAAGCCATAATGTAATAATGTTGAATAGATACAAAAATGTGGAGGAGGGGGTTGGAAAAACCAGGGCAGGAGGAAATGGAAAAGACTATCTTAGAAAGACATATGGCCAGCCACCCTAAACAGGAAAACTTTTTGCTGGAAGGCTTCGCTTATGATGATGCTAAAACGGGGGTGGGTGGTGAGGACATGTGGCTCCCAGGATCCACCAAGGGCCTCCACACTTTTCCCCCAGTTGGCTTTGGTCTGATGTGTCACAGCAGTCCCTACCCTCTAATGATGCACCATTGCAAAGATCAGTCAACATAGGCATGCATTGGCAAGACCATCCCCAAGTCGTCTGGTGAGCTTCATAATCCACTGTAGTTCTGCCAGGTGGAGCTGTCTCGACGGTGCAGCACTGAGCCATGTGGGCTTTATTGGCACCCAGAGGTTTGCAACATAGGAATGTTCTAAACCAAGATAGCTCTTTACGCTGCCTGCCATGCCCAGAGGAGATGTTGGGGCAGAGGGACTTTGTAGGCAGGGCTGGCAGACACAATTCTGTTTCCCCGTCCAAACTCAGTGTTGATTCCTGGAAGGTTTGGCTTGAACAAAAGGTCAAGTTAAGCGTTGTGAGCAGACCTTCCCAGTCTCATCTTGCAGTCTTACACCACCAAGACAGGTTCCATTGGCCCAGAGATGGGACCAGTTCAGGTCCACTGGGCAGGCAAGAGGATTAAAGGCCCTGACATACCACCCTAGGACCCGAACCCAGTTTACATGCTGCTGAATACCAAAGGAGGGAGTCATAGCAATTGACCCAAACATATCCTTCATTCCAAAAATGTTGCACTTGTTTTAAGACTTTCAAATCTCCCCTTACTTTGCAGAGTTGCTTCAGGTGGTCCAGCAATTATGAAGTCTCACCACCCATAAGAAAGCACCGTGTCAAATGCTCCTTCGCTGAGAAGGCTGCCACTGAGAAGCCTCCTTCACGCGCCATCAGGTTAGCATCCCACAATGTAGAGGAAGGCATCCAAGATCTGCAGCATTGTTGGTAACCGTCTCAGTTCCATCCTCCCAGAAAGATGGTGAGTGCATTTCTGTGTTTGTAGGTTGGCATCTCAGATTTGAAACATGTCAGCTCTTCCTTGTTTGGATCCTCTCTTCTTCAGAAGCTGTGCCTACCCTCCCACCTGATGGCAGGGGCAACATCACCCCGCTGATCCTGGTGCTCGGTTCCCTTTGAACCACCTGGAGCCTTTCATCCCCCCTTGAAGAATGGCCCCTTTCATCTCTCTTCTAAACATTTCAAAGAGTTAACTGATCATCTACAAAAAGCGAAAGTGGGGATCCTTAGTTCAGCCTCAGCCTCACAAGGGTTGTTTCATGTTCTGCTGCTTTAGGTCTTGCAAAGATTATTCCCAGACCTGAATGGTGTTTTTCCCCAGACATCTGATCACTTTCTGAGAGGGTTCAAGAATAGAGCTTCTTTCTGCAGGCCTCAGAGACCAAGATATTTAGTTGGAAACTTGGCTATTTGGGGTTCAATAGACTGGGACAACTGGAGTCTGGTGGTCTTGTGGAGATACAGAGCTGCTTAACACTGAGTGACGGACACTGTCCAAGCCTTCTGCCCCAGGTTTGCTGACCAGAGAGGGCAGACAGAATGCAGACCTCCAGAGGGTGAGATATCACAGTGGCTCATGAGGCATGGCAGAGTCTGGTGACCAAAAACCCATGCGGTAACGCAGCTCGTTCATTTCATCTGCAATTTATATGGCACGTCTGCAGATCTCTGCTTACCTCCGCTTCTTTCTTCCCATGAGGTGGCACCCTCAAAGCAATGCCTGCGTTTCTCAGATCTCCTCCCTCACCTCCGCCCCCTGGTCTTTTAATCACACTGAACTGCCAGACGCAGCATTCGGCCGTCACCAGGGCAACGCTCCCTGGTGACAAATCATCCCACTTTTGAAAATTATCCATCCCCGGAACACAGAACCCTGTTTCCAGGCCGCACTCACGTATGATGATTTACCGAAATGAAATAACCTCACAATGCTCAGTTTAAGAATCGGACGCTGGTTTTGAATAATGACACACATTTACTGCCCTGATAAAGCCGTGGAGTCCTTGCGATGCATTTGTAATGGAGAGGATGGCTATTTTTTTTTAATGCTTCTCTGGAGAGGCATAGTGGGAAACCCCTTTCCCCCACTCGATGGGAAAAGGAACACTTTGCATTTTGAGGGTGGGTAAAGTAAGGTGGCCCTGTGAGCAAGCCAGGCTTTTGGCCTCTGTTTCAGGAGAAATGTGCTTAGATTCCCCCCCCCCCTTGCCTCAAGCATGAGGGCCCCTGAAGTCTCTACAGTCACTGGCCAGGTGCAGAGCGGTGTAGCTTCAGCAAGGTGGAATTCCATGCCCCTTCAGACTATGGAACCAGAGAGGTCATGGGCTCTCCCACACCAGAGACATCCAGAAAGAAACCGGACAGCCCTCTGAGTGGGATGGTGTAACGTGGAGTCCTGCACCAACAGGACATTGGACCCAATGGCCTTCTTGGCCCCTTCCAACTCTACTATTCTATGATTACATGAACCACCTGCATTTGCTACTACGAGGAGCAATTAAGGTGGGGTGGAAAGTTTCTCAGATGGAAACCCTCAGCAAGGAGGTGTGCTCAGGGAATTGAAGAGGGGGCTATCCCCCTCCCTCTGCAACAGCCATCCGTTCCTGCAAGGCAATCTTCCCACCCCCTGGAATGCTGGATTACAGCAACTGGAGGACACCAGTTTGGGACTTAAGGCTTCTTGGGAAAATTGGAGTTAGCTAAACTTTGTGCTGTGCTCAGTTTCTTTGAGCCAGAAGACACACTTCCCCCTCCCATGGGGAGGTCCCGGACTGGTTATTTAAAAGAACTATGCTGATTCTAATGTTTTGTTATTATTGCTGAATTAAAAGCTGTATCAGCTCCCTCCCGCCCATCCCCACCCTAACACGGCATTTTTTGATTTAGTGACAGAAAATCAATTTCTCCACTGCCAGCAGAAACCATAACAAACCCAGAGGAGACGGTCTCTGTTTAGCTTTCCATTTCAGTTCTCAAAAGAAGCCTCTGTTAGCCTGCATACATGAAAGTTATGGATATTAATTATGGACATGCCCAAAAAAGGAAGGTTTAATGGCAACTTTGAAAACATCTGTTCAGAAGAAAAAGCCCAGTTCCTCACACCAAGCCTGTGCAGATGGAAGGGTAGCATTCTATTATTAGTAGTAGTAGTACTACTACCATTATTATTATTATTACTATTATTATTATTATTATTATTATTATTATTATTCTCCCTTTATGGCCCATCTTTCTCCTCCTGGCAAGGAACCCAAGACTAGCTTCTTCTCTTCTCCATTTTATTTCATTTTATTATCGGTATTACATTTACATCCCACCTTTTTCTCCTTTTGAGGCAGCTTTCTCAGTCCTCCTCCTCCCCACTTTATCCTCAAAACAACAACCCTGTGAGGAAGGCCCTGCGGAGAGGCAGCGACTGGCCCAAAGTCACCGGTGGGCTTCATGGCAGACTGGGGGCCAGAACCTGGCTCTCTGGAGTCCCATGCCGCACGGGCTCTGTGCCACTGTGCAAACTCCCTGAAGACTCGTCCTGCTGGGCATCCTCTCTCCCGTGCATGCACATGGACATTTACCTGCACTCTGAAGAAATTCCTTCCAGTTAAAAGAGGCATCGGGGGCAGTCTGGATTCCTGAAAATGAACAAGGACACAAGCCAATTCAGCGTGACATGCTCACATGGTGTGTCAGTGGAGTGTAACTTTGAGATGTTCAGGGACCAGCTTTCCTTGGCCGTTCCTCATCCCGCCCTCCAGCAGCACTGAAGAAATATATCCAGAATGTTAAAGAGGACTATCCAGAGTGACTATGGAACCCAAAATGAACCGTTTCCCAGCTAATGTTGACCCTTCTGGTCAAAGAGGAAAAAAGCATCCAAGTGGCTGCTTTGGAACCATTGCTTAAAAACCAACAGTGAAAATCACAAGGAGAGCGCAGTGGGGCACTACGGATCAACTTGCAATCCGCAGCACGCCCAGGCTGCCGATTTTAACTGGACTCCTCTTTCTTCCCAGGCCCCATCCAAAGTACTGTTCCTCTAACCGGTGGGGAAGAGGCAGGCCTCTTGTTGGACTCCAAATCCCATCAGCCCCAGCCATCTCGGTGAACAACAAGAGAACTCAAAGTTCAACATCTGGAGTGCCACTGTCTCTCCACTACGAAACATTCTTCCAGGGGAACCGCCATCCAGCCAAAAGGACACTCGAGGGCGGAAATGGCCTTCGTGACTGAATAGCTGGTCGGTTTGAGGCAGGGCTGAACTGGAGACCTTTGGCATGCAAGCTGCTGCTTTATGTGGGCTCATCCTTCCAGCATAGCAATATTCAGAAGCCCCTCTCAGGGAAATTCATATTCCCCACAGCGGTATTCATCTCCTCTCGCCTGTTCTTAGCATCTGATATCCCTCCAGTTTTACGGCCGCTCAACGCCACGATGCTGCGCTTTGCGCTGTCGTTCTGCGCGTGGACAAGCTTGACCTCCAAGTGCTCAACTTTCTCCATCCTGCCTCTTAGGGGAGTGGTGGCCTCTTATCGCTCTGTAGGTTTAGGTCATCGTGGTGAAATAGGAAGTGAACGCTTACCTTGAGCCTGGACGTATATTTTATTCCTGGCGTGAGGCTTGCAAAGGAAAAAAAATGGAGTCAGCGGGGAGAAAAGAAATGAGTTAATTGACTTGTGCCCTGCAAGTGGGTGGGGTGGGGGCAAAATGGCCGTATCCAGCTGCTGTCCTCAGAATGTTTTGGACTACAGTTCCCATCAGCCCCAGCCAGGGCAGCCAAAGATCTGTGGCGATGGCCATTGTTGTTCAAAATAGTTGGAGGGCCCTACTCTGGGGAAGGCTGTTTTAGAATAATTGACAGCATAATGCAGTGCCCAACAGCAAAACATTTCTGGATTTCAAATGCTCTTTATCCCTCTCAAAAATTAGTGTTTTGAGCAAGATCAGAAGCAGAGCTGGGGTCGGAGGCCTGAAAGCTGCTTTAATCAGTATATATGGGGACCACCAACCCATTATTGTAATTTGCCGCAATCACCTGATTGACAGAAATGCAGACTTTAAGAACAAAACGGAAACAATCATGCTGACCCGCGGGTGACACGTGCAAAAATCCATTAGAGAAACGTGTTTTGCTGAGAGAGAAAAATGCTTCCTCGTGAGGAGACCAGGAAAGGGGAGACCGAAAAGAGGCAAAAACCGATAATGGAAAGCTGCAGTTTCGGGAGGGAGGAAGGTTGCCAACAAAGAAGGCGCAATTTGTTTTGAAAGCAAAGAATCATTTCAGAAGTGCTTATTCGGAGTATCTGGCTTTTCAACTGTATCAAAATAAATTAAAGCCCTGTGTATGATTACTATCAAACGTAGTGTTTATATGGAAAGGAAATCTCCCATACTCCAGAGCTCTCTAAACCCAAATCCCTCTTTATGCCTGATACATTTTTATAGCTACTGCATGCAAAAGTCCACCGTTCTGCCAGAGAGATTGATTCAAACTACAAAGGTAGGAGAATTCTATTTGGAGGGTTAAAACCTGATGGATTTTTCCAGTTCAGGATTGGGCATTTCACTCTATTCACCCCCGCTGGCATCCACACGATCAGAGTTGATGTGTTTAATGGCGACAATGTGCACAAACTGGATTTGTGTGTGTGTCTGTGTGTGCATGCATTTTAAAATCTGCACCTGTGGGGTCCTTTCTCTTTGTGATTCCCCAGTCTTTCACAAATGCAACCAGAGCTCTTGTCTTTTCAGTCTTCTTGTACTTTTCAGGTGGAATAGCAATATACAAGGAAATTGGCAGAGCGAGACTGGGTGGAAGATAAGAGAAAGGAAGAACCAACACAGGCAATTCTGAAGCGCTGCTAAAGAAAATGAAACGTGATTAGAGGGTGCCGAGGTGAGTGTGTGGGGGACAAAACTTTTGGCAATGGGGTGGTATATAAATGAAATTCATCCTCACTTGGTAATGCGATGCTGTCTCTGTGAAGTATTGAGTTGCCCCTTCCTGCATTCATCTCCTTCCAAGAGTCCCTTCATCAGGGGGTCGCACGTTTGAAGAGACGTGGACCCCTGGCTTGTGTTTGCCACCTGAAGGCACTTCTTAACCTGCTTTTGGTTTACAGCAAACCATGGTTTGCTGTTGCATCCCAAGGCATGATCACCTCAATTTGGAATCTCACTGCACTGGAGAAACCATGGTTTGCATGAAAAGAGCTATGCATCCAGTACTGTTCCCTGTCTTAGAGCTTTAAGGCTCATTTTACATTCAGGCTGCTTTTCTGCTTATGTACTGCAAGGCGCTTGAAGGACTTTATAGTGTACCTGCATAACTAAGCAAGCAATAAGGATGGGATTTGAATGTCAGATTGTGTGAATCGCAGCTCAGAGTCTCTTTGCTCCACTAGCCTGTGAAAGCACACCCTGGCTTAGTCTGGGCAACTCGCGGGCCTGGACACATTCGGAGAAACACTGCCAGTCAGCCTCGGTCAGCATGGCCCGTGGCCAGGGATGATGGGAAATGCATTCCTCAACATCTTCAGCCACCGGGCTGCCCTGTCCTGCTCCAGCCGCTCACTGGTTTCTCAGACCTCACCCTTCTGGCCTCAGTGCAAACAAGGCAGGAGCAGGATCAAACCCAATCCACAACCAGAATGCTTGGGCTGGCACAGGATGCAGTAACTCTGCCGGCCAAGGTCCTATGAAGCTACAAAGGCTTAAGAAGCAAGCAGACAAAGGGAATAGGACTCAGAGCCATTAAACTGAAATTAAAGCAAGATGCAGGCCTTGCTAACATCCTGGTCCATCCATCGGGATGCAAGCATCGGAGTCTGCAGCTGAACGCTCTCAGACTCCACATTCAGACCCAACATGCGGCTGAATGGTAGGCTCAGACCCATCTGCCAGTTCTGATTAGGTTGCTTGACAAGAGAGCGTTACGTACCCAGTACGCTACAGCGGTTTCCTTCATCGCCTCGGTGAAAGACACAGCAAACCTAGAAGCGACAAGAATTGGAGCTTGGATCATCCACGCCGGATTTTCCCAAGAGCCACATTGTCTGTTTATGGGTTGCTAATCATTCAAGCGTGACTTGTCGACACAGCTGGGTTCGGACAACACAATAACCCATGTTTGAACAAGAACCCCTGGCTCCCTAGCCCAGGGAAGCTGGGTTATCATGTTGTCTGAATGCAACCGATTTCGAAGAAAGCAGGTGTAGGCTGGCACTGTTAAAAAAAAAAACAACTAAGGATCAATGCACAACAACAGCAATGTTGAATGCTGCCCTGTCTAGGGACTCAGCATGCTGGTCATTTGAAAGAAAGACGCATTTAGGAGAACTCTTCTGACCTGAACCAAACTAGAAATTCTCATTTGCACACATCCAGGAGCTGCAGAGGGAAAGAAGGCAGAAGTTCCCCCCTCATTTTGAAATAGCCAGACAATTCCTTGCCACAGGCCTCTATTTGAAGTTTAATTGTCACCGTCGATTCTGTACATGCCCAAACCCGACAGCTACGAGGCTTTATCAGGCGCTTAACAAGAGATGTGCTTTTCCCAAAGGCCCAGCTCTGCTCTAATTTCTGTTTCTGCAAATTAGATTTCCCAATCTACCCTACTGCGAGTGGGAGGAAATGCTCGCTCTCGGAGGACCAGCGGTGTCCGGTGATGGACGGTCTAATTGAGAAAGATACCCTCTAGCAGAAACAGCCATCTTTTTTTTTTTAAAGTAGCTTGATTAAAAATCAAATAACATGACATGTTCCCTTATTTTATTTTTTCAAAATCAGACTTTCTTTTCTTTTCTTTTCTTTTCTTTTCTTTTCTTTTCTTTTCTTTCTGTTATGTAGTTGGGCAGAACTTCACATGGGTGAAGTCAAATCTACAATGCCACAAATCCCATATATTCAGCATTTTGCAATTAATTTGGGGAGCGGGGGAGAAATGGGCCAACCTCCTCCTTTGCTCACAGAAGGCTCCCTTTAAGGACTAGCCTTAATGGGGCCTATTTCATAGCTGCCCATAGGCCTTGTGTATTAATCTGTAGAATGGAAATAAGTTTATTAGGCGATCCAGGAGGACTGCTGGAGTGTTTAAACAGCCTGGTTGAGGGCAGGAAAGAGGGATTTTCAGGGCTGATGCCCTACCTGGCCTCATCCAGCACCAGCCCCATCACCTGAAGCTTCTCATCGGACTTGGCGTCTTCATTGATATCCGTCCCACCGAAGATGATTCCAAAAGGAATCCTGCTACCTGTGGAACACAAAGGCCTAAGATCAGCTAGGGAGCCGGACAGTGCTTCGTTACGACTACGGCGTCGGCTTCCACCAAGACGCAGAGACGTCTCCCTGATCTGACCGACCGAAGGTGGCTCCAGAGTGAGGCCCACTGACTTCAGTGGGAATGACCCCCCAGCAAGTGTACACAGGAGGAAGGCCGCTCCTCATTCACCGGAGCCTCTCCTCTCTCCAGTCCTGCTGTGCCATCTCGGAAATGCCGGTGAGCTTGAAGGAGGGCAAAAGATTTGCAGTGGCAAATATCCGCTGGCAGCCGTTGCTCCTTTTTCAAAACCGATCGTGCCAGCCAGACAATAAACATCACTCTCCAATCTTCCAAGTGTCGGGAGAGGATGTGTGCGCGTCGAGCAGACAATTAACCCAACCGTTTTACACCTCATTACGCTAACAAATCGTAACGTGATGGCCAGTAATTAGTAACATCGCTGCTTCTACATTCTGGATAAATGAGTTCCCTCGTTAAAAAGGAATCAGGTAACTGTGAGGAGGGTGTTGGAGCCGCAGCTGTCCTTTGCGGGTTGAGCAGGACGGCTCACCTGGGAGCCAGTGCGCGAAGCACGTGGCCCGGGAGCCGCCGAGCCATTCCTGCAACATGCCATGCCCGGCGGGGCCCTGGGAGGACAGCCCTGTTCCAGCTGGGGAATCTCTCCCTTGCTTCTGCTCTTCGACGAATGCCCAGGAAAGGATCCCCTGCCTCTGCTCTCCTTGCTCGTGAGGGAAGCTGCAAGCTGTGTGTGTGTCCACGCACTGCTCGTCCAATGTCTTGCCGTGGCTCAGAGCAGACTCAGCGCTAGCCAGCTCTTGTACTACCCTAACAAAGCAAGGATGGCATCCCCACATCTCAGCTATGGAGACAATGCACTGGCTGTCCCTGCAGACCCTCCAGCTCGGGTCGCTCCCCTCCGCCCTGCATCAGACAGGTCAAAGGGGTACTTTTGTAGGCTTCTGCCACCACCCCACAGCATCGGCCGCCTGAGGCTGCTGCCTCGTTCTGTCTCATGGCTCGGCCATCCCTGGCTGGGGGACACAAGTTTGGGGCAGGCAGACACACAGCTTGTCTGAGTCTACAGCCGCATCTGCACACAGCTGCTCTTTGCAACTGGCGCCCATTATAATTTCCACTCATTTAATTTTGCTGTGGAATCTCGGAGACAAACTGAGATTTCGTGCTTGCTTCTTCGGACCTGCACGACGACCAACCAGCCAGGCGCTACCAGGGTGAAAGCTAATCTGCTTGGGCTAATGGGCCAGCAAGGAAAGCAGGCGGGAGGCTGTGCCAAGTGGAAACAAGCCCTGAAGAAACCCACTGCCCAGCAAAAGGGGAGAGGGGAAAGCAGACAATGACACAGACCGATTTCAAAGCCCTCTACCTTGCAGAAGTCTTCCTGCTTTATAAAGATGGATACCCAAAGCAGCCTCAAAGTTCTCTGAGGAGATGAGCTCCGAAACCATCAGTGGAGACTTGCAGTCAAAAGTATCTTTGAGAGTACACCTGTGACCAGCAGCTTCCAGATGGACCCTTTGAGCACGGGAGCAAATGGAATAGTACCGTTAATAAAGAGAGGATATTGATATTACTAGCTGCCACAAATGGGATATAATGCCACATGGCTTCAAAAGAGGGCTTGGTCCCTCACTTAATAACTTTGGGATGTTTAATGCGTCCGACTGAATCAAACTCTTCTGGGCTGTACTCCTGCAGGCCACGAGGAACTCATTATCTGAACTCACCGAAGCAAACACCTTGCATGTAGAAATGTAGCAAATCAGGGTTGTGGCCTCACCTCCTCTCGAGGCAAAGCTTGAGATTCTTGAGGACCAGCTGCAGCTCAAAGGCAGAGAGCTTGCTTTGCATGCAGGAATTCCTGGGTTTGATTCCTGGCCTCTTTGGCAAAACGGATCCAGAGGCAGGCAGTTGCTAGAGCTGGCACAAGTTAAGGAACACCCATCCAGTTCTGCATAAGCCAAGCTCCTTGGTTTAGTCCTCAGTCTTTGCAAAGAACTCTTTTAGAAACTGAAGAATAAGACTGTTCTTATATCGCTGTTGGCATTTGCTTTGAACATTGGGCTACCTAATGATCCGGCCATCGCTCACTGAGGGCTTTGTGGTCTTACAGGAGCCCTGTGGAGCCTTCTGACTGTAGGATCATGATCATCACCACCACCACCCTTTGCTAAGAAAACTGGAAGCCATCTTATAGCAGGGGCTAAAACACACAAAACTGGATTTACAGGAGGGAAAGACACTCCTAGCTGAGGAAGTCATCAGTGAATACGAGCCACGAAGACGGCATGTCTTCTCCCAGATGCTTCAAGACAGGCCATGTCACTGGCTCTGCAGGTCTTCCTGCCCATTCTGCCAAATGGGGCCTGGGTGCGTGCCCCAAGGTCCGGCCCTGATGGCGCCGCCAATGGGCCCCTGGTGCCAGCACCTCCTGCCTTCCGGAACCCGCAGCCACAGCCTGCCTTCTTTTGCCTCTCCTCGTTCAGATGTTTTCACATCATCAGCTTTTAGCCGCCAACCATTCCTGCTCCGGTCTCACACAAATTGTGCCAGCTTATAATGGCACAATTATGAACAATTTACGGTAAATAAAACGATGAACGTTGGCACCTGCTAACTCGAAAACCACAGCTCACTTCTCAATTTGAATTTAAGTAATGGTGATTTATCCTGCAGCCTAATATATATTTCTTAATGTGTTCTTTTTCCAGACGCAGAACAAAAGAAGCTCAGGCAGTTTGGGTGCATCAATGTGTCTGAAGGTATTTTTCCACTTTCCATTAAACCGATTACTACAAATCACTCCCTTGTTCAAAACACTAAGCATACATGTTACCATTAATTCAAAGCTAACTTTCTAACGCCACTCAGGAGAGATGTCAGGATCCAAAGAAACTCTGCCAGCATCTTTGCTCTGAAGCAAATGCTCTGTTCTGCCTTGGATTTTCACAGCTCCAAAGAAAATGGCTTTTCAGCACAGCTAGTAGCTGACGCATGAACTCTTCCACCAGAAATACAAAGGACCAAATGTAGAGATGGCCACCAATTTAGGCAGTTTTCAAAAGAGAAATGGACAAATTCATGGAGGATAAGATTACCAATGAGGTCAGCTGTGGAGTCTGTGGATTCTCTACCCCAAAAAGAAATAATATGTGTATTCCAACACCCGCAACACCTTACCAAACTTACCCATTCTGACCGCAAATCGCTAGTTTGACACTGAAGACCAGGAGACCATAACACCTGGCCAATTTTTTGACTTTTCTACTTTCTCATCCCCTGTCTTTTGTATCAACTCGCCGGATGGAAAGTTCTCATGAAGCTGAGCTAGCATGGTTCTTCTTACATCCTTAGCAGAACAGAAAAAGCACGTCTTCTTTCCAGGAAGAGGGAAGCAAAAGTTACTGTAGGGGGAAGATTCCCAGCAGCTTTCAAAGCACTGATCTGCAACAAGCAGTCCTCTAGAAACTTTCTTTCAAATTATGTCTGGTTGTTTCCAAAACACACAACCCTAGTAGAAACAATTGGAAAATATTAACTTCGTTGACTGGGCAACAGTACTTGTACGGGTTTGTGAAATGTGAACTCTATTTTAAAAGCGACTGGCCGTGGGCATCACTTTACGCCTAGCAAACTCATTTTGGAAGAGTGTATTTGCATAAATCCACACATGAGTAAACACAGCCGCTCACCTCCGACACAAGAACTGCCCTTGGTTTATTGGTTTGAAACTACGCAAGCACAGGCCACATCGTTTTGGGAAAGCCGTTTCCTTCCATCAGAGAGTGGAAGAAAAAGGAGAAAGGTGGTGTGAGGCCTCCTTTGGGAAGGTGTCTGCCATTTTCAGGTGCAGAATGGAGCATTGCAAAAGCATCTTGTCCAGGCTTTTAGCTGCTCTGTTATTCTTCTTTTAAATGCTGATTTTTTCCTGTCCCTGCTTTTAAAATAGTAGTTTATCATGTGTTTTGCTTATTGGTTTTCTCCCTGGATGTAATGCTTGCTTTGCTTTTGATATGCACAGCACCCTGAAAGCCTTGGCCACGGGGCAACTCATAAATCAAATGTATAATGGATTTTGACTGCACATATAAGCATTTTCATGGTTATATGCTGCTGCTTCTCCAAGGAGTACAAGCTGGCATTCATCTCCCTCCTTTTATATTCACAACAACCCTGTAAGGTTGTTGTTCTCTGATCTCTAAAACGCGTCTGTTCTCTGATCTCTAAAAATGTGCCTCGATAATAATCTGATCAGCGATTAAACTTTGCAGCCCTCCACATGCCAGGCGTGGAGATGCATTCATGGGACCAGCGATGCCAGTGCTTTACCGAAAAAGTGTCTGCCTAGATGCGACCAATGCAAAGAGCTTCACCTGGCGATCTTCTGCCTAACCGGGGCCAGCGTGGCCAAGAGGTTCACCTGCCGATCTTCTACCTAAGAGGAGCTAGCGAGAACAACCGCTTCACCTGGCGAACTTCCGCCTGTCTCTCTGCCCGAATCGGATCTGCGCCCTGTTCCCCCGGGATGCACTTACTGGATCCTCCTCGCGGTGGTGCCGTTCCCGGTTTGGGCTCGCAGGCTCGCCAGCAGGAGTATCCGCATGGCGCCCACCTTTGCACCGGCTGCCGTGCCCGACTTCCGGCAGCGTCCCTCTCGGCTTCTGTCCCCGGCCACGGTCCCGGAAGCTACCTGTCCCCGCATAAGCCCCTCGGCGGGAGAGGCGGGCGCTGCCTCCTCTCGTTGCTCTATGGTCATCGCGCTCAGCCAAAAGACGCTCTCCCAGGAAACAGGCTCCTGGAAACGTCGTTCCGCTCCCCTCCTGCGCATTCAGTCCGAGCAGGCATGTTCGTTTCTATTCCGCGCTGCCGAGAGCCTTTGATTTTTTAAGGGCTGCCAAGAAGGCAGTCAGTCAGCAGGTGCAGTTAGCCCTAGCCCACTGAATAAGAGAAACCCAAAGGATTGCATCTGTTATATGTATTGTTTTATTTACTACCAATGAGCAGTTTGAGTAAGCTTTGCAATCCTAAATCCAGGATGGAGCCATTGCATCATAAATAGGATCACGCAAAAGTAATACTGTGGGCATGAAAGAACACTGCTGTTCCTCAAAGGAAAGGTTTTTTGCTGTTGGTTTTCCCCAGATAAATGAACTGTGGCTCAGGAAAGGTACATTTCAGTTCCTTTTACAGCTGGTTCGTTTAGCTGTGTGTCGAAGAAGGAACTGACGTCAGTCCCACGAATGTTACTTACATGTTCGCTTCAGCAAGGTTGGGAAAGATGGAGCAGGCAAAGCAACTGTGTCCACAAGCTTTTCTTACAGTCGTCCTAGCTGAGTCATGGTTTGAACTAGATGACCTCTAAGTTCCCTTCCAACTATGACAATTTGTTCTGAGTGGCAAATTATCAAGGAACTCAAGCTCACAGTCTTTCTACACAACAAGACAGTCCTGGATCCAGCTCCCTTCATTCCAGCGGTTAAATTCAGGGTAAAAATCTTTGGCAGTCTGAACCAACTCACCCAGTACATTAGATCTCATCACCCCTGATTTCACAGACCTGCACAAATGACCCAGGATTGTGACTCATTCAGAGCAGGCCGCTGCTCACTCAAAGGGTTCTTCCCTCAGGAAGACATCCAATAGGTGAGCCGCCCCGAGGCTTTGTTGCGATGGGGGCAGCATAGAAATGCTTTAAATAAATAAATAAATAAATATTTTTTTCCTCCACAGAGGAAGAGCTGATCTTACCCAGTGGGTTCCAACAGGATCCAGTGGACAGGCGAGGGAGAGTGAGACACAGTTCCAGAGAATGTCAACATCAATTCGTGTTGAATCTACAAAGGTACAACATCCCGTTGTGGATGCAGTGTGGTTGTGGAGTCCAACAGACAGCAAGGGCATCATGGCTTCTGTGTGTATATGCAAAGGGGCCCAACAACGGCATAAACTCAATGCACTAGGTGCCTCTGCTCCTGGTTTTTTCCCCTCCCACTCCTTCTGTCCTCACTGGGCTGTTTCGGGGTGCCCCCACCTTCTCAGGGAGTTCCCCAAGATCAGTAAAAGCCCACTGAAGTGCGTGACTGGGAGGGTCTGTTTTGCTTACAGAAGGAAGGGCGTTTGTCAGGCAGCATCAGAAATAGAATGATGCACTCAGTTTTAGTAGTTCTGGGACCCTCTTCATCAGAATCAGTTCGGAGAGAGCCCACTGGGATCGGTGCAGTCAGAGAGCAGCCGGCAAAGAGCGGCTGCACCTGATCAGCAGGAAAGCAGTGGGTTGGGTTGTGCATTTATTCTGCATGCTGCTGCACATCTAAGCAGATTCCAGAGCAGTGAGCAACAGAAAGATTCAAAAAGGGTAAGAGAAGGGAGGCAATGTATTCAAAATGTGGCGGGCCAAAAAAGCAAGCCAGAAAGGGCTTTTCAGAGCAAGCGTATCTCCAGCGGGTGCTGGAAACGCAGTGCCAGAGTTTGGCGGCCTCCAGAGGGAGAGACTTCCACGGAAAGGGGCCTTGCCTCGCCCACCCGCTCCAGTTGGGGTTTTTCATCTGCTAACCTCTGCGATGAGGCAGCTTGGTAAAGAGGATGATCTCTCCCATGATCTTGGGATCCCCCAACCAGGCACAGCCCAGAAAGTGTAGGACCCCAGCCCCCACCATCCCCACTGGGGATGATGGACAGTATAGTCCACCCCTCTCTGGAAGGCGTCAGGTTCCCGGAAAGGCTAAGCTAAATGCTTCTGCCAATACCAGAGAGAGAGTCCTCCCTTCTTTTAAACTTTGCTACATTAGGAAGAGCATGTAACGTTTTGCTACAACTTTGTATCCTGCAATGTAATATAATGTTGCGGCGGCCTTTTCTGGGGATCGCTGAGATCCGCCCAGAGAGGTTCGCTATGAGGAGGCACAGACACGAAATTTAAAATCATCGCAAGGGTCAGACTATCCGCCTGCTTCCACGATTGCGACACTCCGTCACGTGACTTTGCCCCATGACCTCCCTGCCGGACCAAGCCGCGCCCCCCCCCCCGGCTTCATGTGCACCTGCCCCCCCCGTGCACATCTGCCCCCCTCCTTTTGCACGGCGTCCTATTTTTGCAGCTGCTGCACCACGTGAGAGTTGAACCTGGAAGGGCCGGTCTCCTCTGAGCGACTGCGCGGGGCGGCCAATCAGCGCGCGCGGCCCGAGTCGGAGGAGGCGGGACCCGGAGAGACCTGGGCATTCGTACCAGAGAGAGAACTTCGCTGCCGCCGGAGACGGCGGAGGGAGGCGGCGCGGAGCGTGGAAGGGCGGCCCGCGCGAGGAGTGTGCCGGGTCCGCGCGGAGGGGCGAGGGAGGGAATCGATCCGGCGCGCGGAAGCAGGAGCCTCCGCGGCGGGGGGGAGCGCGGGGAGGTGGCGAGTTCGAATCCCGGGCGCGGCGGCTTGGGCGCCGAGGCCGGAGGGGCGGCAGGGCAGCTGAGACTGCGGCGAGGCGGTTTGGAAGGCAGCCCCGCCCCGCCCCGCCCCGACCTGACCTGACTTGCCCCCGGGCCCCGGGAGACGGCAGCCGGGCACTGGCAGCTTAGCCGGAGGGGGGCGCGCAGGTGTGCGGGGCCTCTTCCAGCCGGGGGCTGAGAGGGCTGGGGAGGGCGGCTAGCTGCCCGGGCTGGGGGCGCGCGTCTGAGCCGAGCAGCGGGCGGGCGGGGTGGGGCAGGGGGGAGTTTGGATCTGGGCGCCGGGCCGCTCCCATGGAGGAGGCTGAGTCCACTGAGCAGAGCCCGCTGCTGGGGGGCAGCGCCCGGCCGCCCGCCAGCCCCCCGGGCACAAGCGTCTTCCAGGGGCGGCGCTTGGCCTGTGCGGCCGTGCTGCTGGCGGAGATGCTGGAGCGGGTGGCCTTCTACGGCATCACCTCCAACCTGGTGCTGTTCCTCAACGGCACGCCGTACAACTGGGAGGGGGCCCAGGCCAGCCAGGCCCTGCTGGTCTTCATGGGCGTCACCTACCTGGTGTCCCCCTTCGGCGGCTGGCTGGCGGACGCCCTGCTGGGCAAGTTCGCCACCATCCTGGTCAGCATGGCCCTCTACCTGCTGGGCATGCTGGCCTTCCCCGGCATGGCCTACTCCGGCACCCGGCAGTGGCTGTGCGGGCAGATGCGCCTCTGGCCCGTCGAGAACTGCTCCTCGCCTTTGGCCGCCAACGCCACCCCGGCGCCCCCGTGCCGGCTGGAGGGCACCAACCGCTACTGCCTCGTGCCCGCCTTCATCGGCCTGGTCCTGGTGGGGCTCAGCGTGGGATCCGTCAAGGCCAACATCACGCCCTTCGGGGCTGACCAGGTCGAGTATGACTCCTGCCTCCTTGCGCTTCTGACGGGGCCGAGTGTGCCGGGGGGCCCCTTGCGGCTGCCTTGGGTTGCCTGCAGGACGTGCGGGTGGCAGTGAAGTGGGATAAAGAGATGCTGGGCAACCGGGCCGTGCGGAGCCATGCAGCGGGTCCCTCCAGGGCAGGGGGGCTGGCCAGAGCAGGAAGTGCCCCCTGGAGTTGCCCAGCCCTGGCCCTGCCTCCTCGCTCCCGTGCTGCCCTCTCTGGCTGTGGGGGACGGGATGGAGGGGAGGGGAGGAGAGGAGAGGAGAGGCTGCCCCTCCCGGCTCAGTGCCGCCTGCCTGCCAGGCGAGCAGGACGCCTCAGCGATTAGCGGGGCGAGTAGCAAGAACAGCCGGTGACCACCAAGCTGAGAAGCCTGGCTGACTGCAGGGAAGGACCCGCCTTGCCCCTCGGCCCTCAGCAACCTGGGGCTGGCGCTGGGTCCGCTTGCCTGCCCGCCCTGTCACCGTGCCCTCTGGCTCTTGTGGGCCTGCCCCAGCCGGCTTGGCCGATGGCTCAGAATCCTGGGAGCCGCAGTCCCAGAGGCTGCTTGGGCGCGCCTGCTTGGGAAGGCTGGATTCATCCCACAGTGGGGCTGGCAAAAGGTTGGGCCACCAGGAGTGCTGTGTCGGGGGGGGGGGGGTCCCCACTGAAACTGTTGCTTCCTGGTGGGATCTGCTGTGTGATCCCATGGCTGACACTGGTTGGTCTTGGCGGCCCTGCACCTGATGGGCCACTGGCTTCTCTTGGCAGATGCCGCCTTCTCCCATCTTCTCAGGGCTGTGCTGGCCAGGCCTGATGGGATGGGAGCCTGGAATGCCCCCCATTGCAGGGGAAGGGCTGTGGCTTTGTGGAGCTTTGCAGGCAGAACTTCCCAGGCTTGGTCTCCAGGCAGGACAGGAAAAGCTCCTGGCTGAAGCCGCTGCCTCTGAGCATCGATGGTTCTGGTCTAGAGGGTCCGATTCACCACAAGGCAACTCTGTGTGTTCCAAGTGGCCTCGGGGGCCCTTCCCAGAGGATGAGCAGGTTGCCTTCTCGGCCGTCCCTGCTCTGCGTTTCTGTCCACCTGCCACATGCATTCCTTGCTCTCAGCAACTTTGATCTGGTCCCTTCCTTAGGGCATGTTGTGTTGCCTGGCATCCCATAACTGGTCATTTTGAGGAAAGGTTTCTGCAACAGCTCATCAACTGTGCCACGTCTGGGAGATTCCAGGTCTGTGTTTGAAGGGCAGCGGGTCAGTTCACTGCTAGGCCTTCCCTTGGGCATGAGATGTATCCAGAGGACTAGAAAAGGGTCATGTGGAATTTGCAGTGCCAGGTAGAAGTGTTTTAAGCTCGGAAAGGAGGAGAGAAGATAAATAGGATGTGTGTTAATAAAATTATGCATGATGTTCAGAACATAAGAAAGATTTCTGTCCTCTGCCCATAATACTACACTTTGAGCTCACCTAAGGAAATTAATCAGCATTTGATCCAGGGACAGGAAAAAAAGTGTGCTTAATCTAATGTATGAGATTTGCTGCCCCAAGTTTTGCCAGCAGAAGCCAGCTCAGCTCCTCCCAGCCTTAACACTCATCAACTGCAAAGTGAGTTACAGTCGAAATCTACTTGTGCATAGGATGGCAAACTTCAGTGGCTTTCTTTCAGGAGGGGAAGAACTCTGTCAGTGGCTCGTAATATTGATGGTCCTGTGGAACTTTCAGCTTCAGGAGCAATATGGCTGAGCTTACGGTCTGCTAGAAAATACTAGCATTGTCACTGTGTGGAAATAGGGTTCCTAGGCTAGATGGCACTTTGGTTTGTTTAGCACTGCTGGTCTTGCGTTACTGTTGCATCCATAATTTCTGTTTTCCTGGAACATTTTTCAAGACCTAGTACCATACACGTTGTGTGTTGCTTGGGTGTGGAAGAGTGTGTTTTCAGGGCCCTCCAGATGCTCCAGCCAACAGCCCTCCCTCATCATGCCTAACCAACCTAGCCAATGGGAGGCCACCATGAGAATGGAAGGCCAGAACATCTGGTGGGCCACCAATGGTCCCCTGCCCCATAACTTCAATAGGCGCCATTTGGGATTCCCTTACATGTCCGATGCCAAAGGAAAAGCACTTGTTCCATTTGATCCTGGTTTCGACAAGATCTCAAGATGTGATCTGGATTTCTTTTCTAAACCAGATTAAGGCTTCACTTTTTTGGCCCAGCATTTTAAGATCTTACTATTTTAACAGGAAACATTTAAATGTAATTTATTGTTATACTGAGCTGATGGCTATGTCTTGGGTTTGCTAGCTAAAAGGTTGCTTTCAGTTTTCTTGAAATGTGTAATTGAACGTTTTTTGTTTTGAGATACTGTGTTACTTTATTTGCTAAAAGTTGCATACTCCATTGTGCAATTACTTACGCATGAAGGGTGGCTTATACATTTTAGCAATAAATATATACATTGTTACTCTTGCTAGAAGTTCCATCTTTTTTCTTTTTTCTTTTGTTTTGGGAGTGGTTCTCATTTCTCCCTGTTGGTTAGAAGTTTCTCTATCTTGTTTCTGGGGTCTCCAGTAAAGGCAAAAGAAAGGTGATAATCCAATTAGCACAGGCTTTGTTGAAGCTCTTAGAATGCAGGATACACCATGTTATCCAATCCAGATCAAGTCACCGCTTTCTGAACTAGAGTTCTGCATATCTGCAAACCCTGATTCTTTCACTGCAAAGGTGAATCACTAAATATTTATTGAATTGTTGTTTGTGCTTCTGCATGAGGTTATGTTGCAAGGCCTTCTACCTGATAGCTGATGGTCTGGGTAGCTTTTTGTGTAGAATTGAGCATGCCGGCTTTTGGTGCCTGCTGAGCACTTTGCAGAGCAGGACAGGACAGGAAAATTAGCAGTTTGGCAAAGCAATGTGTCTTTAGGACAAAGAACAGATGATTGGTGAGTGAAGCTACTTTTTCACAAGAAGAAGGTATGTTTGAATTGCAGTGCAAATACCAAATTGTTGTGCAGGATCCAAAGAACGGTGTGATCATTTTGTGCATCTAGGCATGCTAAAAGGGTGCACCCTTCCACTTTAGCATGGGGCTTTAATCAGCATCTGTGTTATCAGTTGGCAGGGTGGGCTAGCAGGATGAAGGATGGTGGGTCACCTATCCCCCCTCCCCATCTTACACAATGGATGTGAGCATGCCCCAATTTAGCTGCTTGCCTCTGGATCTGCAAGGGGAGCGCCAAGGTCCCCATTTAGCTCTTGGCTCTTGGCTGTGGCTTGCTGCCATGTGGTTTATCCTGAATGTTGCTCCTCGGATCTTGTCCTGTCTTTTCAAGATTACATTAGATCTCTTTCTCCTGTTGCCCTTGTGATTCAGTGCTGTGTTGGCCACCAAAAGCCCATAGGATACCTTGAACCTCGCAAACCGGCTTGTTCGTTTCCGTCTTCAAGTCGCTGTGCAGCTGGATAATATTCATTTTATTTGGAGGATGGGGGCTGTAGAATGGTTAATTCCCCTGGTGTGGATTTGGCCTTCAGGGGGCTGTTTGTCCATTTACCTGTCTTTCTGTCAAACACACTGGCAGTTAGGGGTATGAATTGGGTGTTAACAACTGGAACCGTTTTGGTGTAGTGGTGAAGGTTGTTTGTGCTCTGGGCTCTGCTCAACCATAGTACTCTTTGCATGACTCTCACGCATAGTACTCTTTGCGTCACAGATTCTCAGCTGAGCCGACCTCACAAGCCTGTAGTTGGGATAGAATGAAGGGGGGAGGGCCTTGTAAGCATCCTCATATTCTTGGCAGGAGGAAGAAAGGTAGGGTGTAATCATAATCAGACTTAACTTCATCTCCCTTTTGAAGTGTGAACGGTTTTTGAAAAGCTGCTTACCCCCAAAACGTGGGTAGGGTAAAGTGAAGGCAGACGAGGGTGTCTCCAAAGAAGCATTGGAGACATGCCGGATGTTTGTATTCACATGGAAGTCTGATTTGCAAAAGGCCACTGTTACGCATGTCAGAAAAACCACCCGCTTTCTGAATTTCATTTCCGTTTCTCCACACTGTTCTCTGCACCCATTTCTCCCCCTCCCCACCACAGTGCAAGCCCAGCTCAGAACAACACTCCGTGCATCTCATGAAGTGGATTTGTGTCCACAAAAGTCTCCGTTGTGTCAGGATAAATTTGCTAGTTTTGCTATGAGGGTTCTTTGTGCATTTTGCAGCCATGGACTGCCGTCTCAAGCGAATGCTCATACGGGTAAACCCATTTCTGCCTCCCTGGAGATTGTTAGAGCTGCTGTCTTTTAAGAAAAGAGGCGACTCCTGTTGGAATGCCACATGGGAGCAAAGTACACAAAATATACATATGCTGTGTAGAGTCTTCCAGGCCCACTTGGTTTCCTGTGGGTGTTTTTGACGCGGACTTCTGTTAGCTCCTAGCATGACCAGTGGCCAGGGAACCTTGAAACCGCAGTCTAACATATCTGTAGAATACAGGTTGGGGAAGACTGTTCCTGTTCTTTGGAAGAAGAATAGAGAAGTTGGTTATTTGCCTTGGATTTTCAATTGTCACAGTCCATGGCCTTTTCTTGATCTCTGCCTTCTGATTTCATGTTTCAGCTTGTCAAACCATTGAGTGGCTGAGGGCTTTTAATCCATTGTTCCATCTCTTAAGACAGATGCTTTTGGCTGTCGGCCCTTCCTGGAAATAGAATGAGGCTCCAAGCTCCACATTTGGGGTCAGCTGTGTAGTGAATGGTAGGCCCCAAACCACTTCTGTGCAAGCTCAGTCCTGGGAAGAGCAAAATCGGTCCTCCTGGGATGTTAAAATTCCAGGAATCTGGGGATAAAATAAGGCTGCAGGAATCCTCTTTCCTGCTTGATTTTAGAAAGTTTAGCTTTTCTCCTGCCCCTTTAAAGATCGATCGACTTTGTTTTGGAACTGCTTCCATAAGATTGGAGTCCTGACTTCATCCCTGACTCCTGTGGGATCTCCAA